AATACAAACACAAAATGACAGAACAACAATCAACAACACAGAACTAGAGATGGACGATGTTTCATATTTCACGTCACTGTGATTTTGTTGCTGATATGATTAGCTCTATGTGATTCCTGACTTTGAATTCCTGTAATGACAATTTTATTACAAGACACCTTAAGAATCCACAAAAAAATATTAGAGTTAAATTATAAAACGGAAATCATGCCCTTATACCTTTTTAGATATTCGAAAAAAAGTGTTTACATGTAAGTAATAACAAGTTATGATATGGCAACATTGTTTTTTAAAATAAACATAAAGCACAAGAATAAATAATAACCAGAAGGGTATCTCTCATTTAATTCCTTTGTAGTTGATACCGACGAGCATGATCTCATCTGGGGACCTATTTTCAAACCGTGTGAGTACTCATTTCTCTCAAGATTCTCATCAGAAATGTCATACGTCAATGTGGAAAGAGGGAGTAAAAGTGTAATGGCCAGTAGGTCAGTCAATACAAAGTATCATATATTTCTATTATAACATAACTAAAATACCTACATCTTTTAATCATAAGGACATAAGTTAAAAACCATTTTAATATATGCATTAGAATGAAGTAATAATAACTTAAAGAGACGAGGTCTTAAAGTAATAGCTGGTACAGCATGTTTTTTAAACGTTTCCTCATTGATGCTAGAATTAAATCACTTACTATGAAATGTGCTCTAAAAACGGCATTTATAGCAGTCAGTGTTCAGTCTTAGGATCTCTTCCTAAAGCCCTCATCCAAGCTGCATACATATTAAAAAATAATTTAAAAAAAAACATATATACCTATATAGTTTTCGGTTCTGGGTGCCCTAAAAGAGGACACTTAGCCGACAATTTGGCTCATATAGCTAAAACCCAAAAGTCACACCCAGAACCAGGACGTATTGCTATCCTTTCAAGTAAAAAATAACTATAAATAACTTACCTGAAAAATGAAGGCGTCTAACTTTACACCAAAAAAACCATACACTTTTTCCCATTGTTGCAAGCACCCGATGACGATTAGGTAGATATCAACTAGAAGCATGTACTTAATGGTTATAAAGCTTATTTTAACACAAAAAGAATAAAGCACTAGTCGAAAAGCAGCAATCAAATATAAATAGACCACAATATTAAAATTCAAATTAAAAACTATTACTATAAAAGACAAATACTCTCAAAGCGCAAAAGATCAAAACCAAATAAAATGAATAACTATAATAATCTAAAAATCACACAAGAATTGCAAAAACTATTACTGTAAAATCATGAGATTACATCAATAATTCATATGCGTCGGAGTATTACAAATGTCAAAAGTAGTGTTTCCATGAAAATTTAGCTATGATTTTAGCAGTATTATAGGACCATTTCTACCATGCCCATCCAACTATATTGGCGTTCCATAGTTCACTGTATTTTCCTCATACCTCTAGTATAAATGATTTGACATAACGAAACTAACAATAATTATGATTAATGTAGAGTAATAAATGTTTCGCGAATTCTAAATAAAATAATTATTATATAAAAGTGTAAAAGGAAATGTAATTTATTTCCCTATTTTCTTCTGTAATATCTTCAATTATTATGTTTAATTTCTATAAATAAACCAACTGGTTAGGTGAAACATTGTGATATAAGATTTTATTTATGTGTCCTATGCGTACACTTTAATATACAAAACACCTGGAACATTCTTTAATTAATTGTGGTCGTAGAAATAATTGTGTACATAACTCGTTTGAAAGTGTATTTTATGCACTTGCCAAATATATTATCCATACAGATTAATCAGACTATTTTTTTACTTAACTTCAGTACATCTCTTACTACTAAAACTATTTTTAACAATGGAAAAAAAGGGCCGTGTTCTCGTATGTTTTGACGCATTTTCGGCCTCAGCCCATCGGATCCCCCCCTCTAAATATATATGAATTTTGCTTAGAATTGCTAATCCTACAATTCTCTATTCGTGCTTGCTGACTGGGAAAATAAATACCGAAAATCGTCACTGTCTCCTGGATTATACAATAGATGATGATGAGAACTTCACAACAAATACACTTTTATGAATGGCTAGTTAGGGATGTGCCCGCTTTCCATCGTCTTGTTTATATATGAATGTACAGTCTATATAAACTATATCATTGAATTTGAAAGGGAATTTTAATAGGAAAATGTTGGCAACATGTTTAGTTTGACAGTTGGCATTACTGATTGAATAAATCAATGAAATGAGGGGTTATGTCAATTCTTGGTTGGTTATGTGTTATGTTTGATTTTGATTTAAGAAAATTATAATTACCTCAATTAGAAATGATAGATAGCATAAATTTTAGATAATTTTTAACTAAAAAAAAAGTAATTCTTAATTATTAACATTTCTGTTACTGCCAGAGTTGTTTTCTACATAATAATTAAATTAATTTAAATGGATCATGGATCTTCATCAGCCAATCGTTTTTGGAAATCGGGTAAGTAGATATTTAATTTGTTCCCATATCTCAAATAAAATATCATTTAATTGCAGACTGTAGATCAGCTAAATCCAGAAGAAAAATATAGGTAACTACTATAATTAATTATATATAAATATGAGAAACATTAAAATCTAAATTTTAAGGTATGAACATCAAAAACTTCACGAACAACATAAGGGACATGAAAAAAATGCACGCAGAAATGGTCTTGATACTAATAGTTACCCTAATTGTAGTACAATTATGCCTTATAGAATGGAAAAAACGTCATTATAGGAGCTATTGTGTAAGATATCTATTCAGTATTACTTTATCATATTTGTGTAGTTTTTAATAATTAAATTTCATAATAACTGAAAGGAGTTTCAGCCTCAGTAAGTATGGAAAGTCTAGGGTAGTTATCTAGTCACATCTATAGCTTATTAAGTTCTCTTAATCTGGGGGTGCCTATCATCTTAGGAGGATGCACAATGGGCCTAATGAGGCCTAAGTGCCGTGGGGTAACCCACCCTCCACACGTTACAAATACAGATAGTTCTCTTAATATAAATCAGATCAAAGTTTATTTTTTCCTTTTAGTTTAGGAGAGTTGCTCTCATTAGAAAGTTGTCTACATGTTCCAGGTGTAGAGTAAGTGTAGATATCGCTGGTGAGAGGAATGTTATTTATATATTGGTATGATTATTAACAGCATTAATGGGTAATTTTCTGCCTAAGAATTCATTTTTCTACCATTTTTGACTTTTTTATTTTTTTTAATAACTTTTTAACATTTTTTTCTTTCTTTGACTTTATTTTACTAGTTTATTTTTAATTTTTTGACTTTTTTACTTATTTTTTGATTTTTTTTGACATTTCTTTCGCTTTTTTCGACTTTTTTTGCTATTTTTTACATTTTTTCTTGACTATTTTTTGATCTTTTTTTTTAATTTTTTGACTTTCTTTACTATTTTTTATTTTTTTTTGTAACTTTTTTCGACTTTTTGACATTTTTGCCATTTATTTTACCTTTTTTGACTTTTTTCATGAATATTTTTTGATTTTTTTTTTTTTACTTTTTGACTCTCTTGGCTAGTCTTTATTTTTTTTTACTTTTTTGGACTTTTTTGCCATTTATTTATTTTACCTTTTTTGACTTTTGCCTATTTTGTCACGCGACAGAATTTTTTTAGCTCCTTAACCGAAATTATTTTTATTACCCCAATGCTGAACGCACGAGGACTTTTTTAACTTTTTTTGGACTTTTTAGAACTTTCTTGGTCTTCTTTACTTTTTTCTTACTTTTGGTTTTTAATTTTTTCTTTTTTTGACTTTTTTTGTTGCTAAAGTCTTTTGTCAAGCGACAGGATTTTTTTTAGCTTCTTAACCGGAATTATTTTTGTTAACTCAATGCTGAACGCGCAGAGGACTTTCTTTGAACTGTTTTGACTTTTTAGGAATGTCTTTTAAACTTTCTTTTCCTTTTTTTGACATTCTCATACTTATTTATTTTTATTTTTTGACTTTTTTTGTTGCTAAAGTCTTTTTTGTCAAGCGACAGGATTTTTTTTAGCTTTTTTACCGGAATTATTTTTGTTAACTCAATGCTGAACGCGCAGAGGACTTTCTTTGAACTGTTTTGACTTTTTAGGAATGTCTTTAAACTTTTTTTTCCTTTTTTTGACATTCTCATACTTATTTATTTTTATTTTTTGACTTTTTTTGTTGCTAAAGTCTTTTTTGTCAAGCGACAGGATTTTTTTTAGCTTCTTAACCGGAATTATTTTTGTTAACTCAATGCTGAACGCGCAGAGGACTTTCTTTGAACTGTTTTGACTTTTTAGGAATGTCTTTAAACTTTCTTTTCCTTTTTTTGACATTCTCATACTTATTTATTTTTATTTTTTGACTTTTTTTGTTGCTAAAGTCTTTTTTGTCAAGCGACAGGATTTTTTTTAGCTTCTTAACCGGAATTATTTTTGTTAACTCAATGCTGAACGCGCAGAGGACTTTCTTTGAACTGTTTTGACTTTTTAGGAATGTCTTTAAACTTTCTTTTCCTTTTTTTGACATTCTCATACTTATTTATTTTTATTTTTTGACTTTTTTTGTTGCTAAAGTCTTTTTTGTCAAGCGACAGGATTTTTTTTAGCTTCTTAACCGGAATTATTTTTGTTAACTCAATGCTGAACGCGCAGAGGACTTTCTTTGAACTGTTTTGACTTTTTAGGAATGTCTTTAAACTTTCTTTTCCTTTTTTTGACATTCTCATACTTATTTATTTTTATTTTTTGACTTTTTTTGTTGCTAAAGTCTTTTTTGTCAAGCGACAGGATTTTTTTTAGCTTTTTTACCGGAATTATTTTTGTTAACTCAATGCTGAACGCGCAGAGGACTTTCTTTGAACTGTTTTGACTTTTTAGGAATGTCTTTAAACTTTCTTTTCCTTTTTTTGACATTCTCATACTTATTTATTTTTATTTTTTTACTTTTTTTGTTGCTAAAGTCTTTTTTGTCAAGCGACAGGATTTTTTTTATCTTCTTAACCGGAATTATTTTTGTTAACTCAATGCTGAACGCGCAGAGGACTTTCTTTGAACTGTTTTGACTTTTTAGGAATGTCTTTAAACTTTTTTTTCCTTTTTTTGACATTCTCATACTTATTTATTTTTATTTTTTTACTTTTTTTGTTGCTAAAGTCTTTTTTGTCAAGCGACAGGATTTTTTTTAGCTTCTTAACCGGAATTATTTTTGTTAACTCAATGCTGAACGCGCAGAGGACTTTCTTTGAACTGTTTTGACTTTTTAGGAATGTCTTTAAACTTTCTTTTCCTTTTTTTGACATTCTAATACTTATTTATTTTTATTTTTTGACTTTTTTTGTTGCTAAAGTCTTTTTTGTCAAGCGACAGGATTTTTTTTAGCTTTTTTACCGGAATTATTTTTGTTAACTCAATGCTGAACGCGCAGAGGACTTTCTTTGAACTGTTTTGACTTTTTAGGAATGTCTTTAAACTTTCTTTTCCTTTTTTTGACATTCTCATACTTATTTATTTTTATTTTTTTACTTTTTTTGTTGCTAAAGTCTTTTTTGTCAAGCGACAGGATTTTTTTTATCTTCTTAACCGGAATTATTTTTGTTAACTCAATGCTGAACGCGCAGAGGACTTTCTTTGAACTGTTTTGACTTTTTAGGAATGTCTTTAAACTTTTTTTTCCTTTTTTTGACATTCTCATACTTATTTATTTTTATTTTTTGACTTTTTTTGTTGCTAAAGTCTTTTTTGTCAAGCGACAGGATTTTTTTTAGCTTCTTAACCGGAATTATTTTTGTTAACTCAATGCTGAACGCGCAGAGGACTTTCTTTGAACTGTTTTGACTTTTTAGGAATGTCTTTAAACTTTCTTTTCCTTTTTTTTACATTCTCATACTTATTTATTTTTATTTTTTGACTTTTTTTGTTGCTAAAGTCTTTTTTGTCAAGCGACAGGATTTTTTTTAGCTTCTTAACCGGAATTATTTTTGTTAACTCAATGCTGAACGCGCAGAGGACTTTCTTTGAACTGTTTTGACTTTTTAGGAATGTCTTTAAACTTTTTTTTTCCTTTTTTTGACATTCTCATACTTATTTATATTTATTTTTTGACTTTTTTTGTTGCTAAAGTCTTTTTTGTCAAGCGACAGGATTTTTTTTAGCTTCTTAACCGGAATTATTTTTGTTAACTCAATGCTGAACGCGCAGAGGACTTTCTTTGAACTGTTTTGACTTTTTAGGAATGTCTTTAAACTTTCTTTTCCTTTTTTTGACTTTCTCATACTTTTTTATTTTTATTTTTTGACTTTTTTTGCTCCTCAAGTCTCTTTTGTCACGCGACAGGATTTTTTTTGACTCTTTTACTTACTTTTTTATTTTTTTGACGTTTTTTCGCCTTTTCGAGTTTTTTGCTATTTGTCTTTTTGACTTTCTTGACTATTTTTTGATTTTTTTACTTTTTGACTTTCTTGACTATTATTTGATTTTTTTGACATTTGACTTTTTTGGTCAAGTCTTTTTTTGTCACGTGACAGGATTTTTTTAGCTCCTTTACCGAAATTATTTTTGTTAACCCAATGCTAAACATACGAAGACCTTTTTTGAACTTTTTTCAGACTTTTTAAGATTGTCTTGGACTTTTTTAATTTTTGTTTTTTATTTTTTTACTTTTTCACTTTTTTTGCTGCTCAAGTCTTTTTTGTCACGTAACAGAATTTTTTAGCTCCTTAATCGAAATTATTTGCTAAACGCTAACTTTTTTGGACTTTTTAGGACTGTTTGAACTTTCTTTGTCCTTTTTTAGTCGTTTTTGTCACGCGACAGGATATTTTTTACTTATTTTCTTTCTTTGACTTACTTGACTATTTTATTTTTAATTTTTTTGACTTTCTTGACTATTTTTTGATATTTTTTACTTTTTTGCCAATTTTTTTTATTTTTGACTCTTTTGCTAGTCTTTTTTGTCACGCAACAGGATTTTTTAGCTCCTTGACCGAAATTATTTTTGTTACTCCAATGCTGAACGCACGAGGACTTTTTTAAACTTTTTTTTTGGACATTAAAGACTTTCTTAGACTTTTTTACCTTTTTTTCTTACTGTTTAATTTTTTTGCCTGTTTTTGACTCTCTTGACTATTTTTTATTTTTTTTTTTAACTTTTTTGGACTTTTTTGACTTTCTTAACTATTTTTTTTTTTTTTACTTTTTTGCTAAAAATCTGAGCTGATATAATTTTCAATTTTTGCTAATCCATAGTTAGGTTGGTATTTTAAAAACAATATTTTTTCATTTATACCTAGATATAGGGTACGTATACATAGGGTGTTGTAATTATCCCATTCAAAGATCTCTCTTCCCCCTCAATTTTTTCCAACATAGCATTGTCTCGCGTTAAAGTGGATTGGATCTGTAAATATCTTTAATAAACTTTATTCCTAAACATCTAAAAGTCATCATAAGTTTTAATAAACGTTTTTGCAACCGGCTACAAGACTTTTCAGTTAGTGATATGCATGTGCATGTACTTTATTGAAGGATCCTATTTTGAGATATTGCCATGACAACTGATTTCCAGACAGTAAATATCATGTCTTTACCTTCGAAAACCATTTTTAAAAGGAAATAAAAGTAACAATTCATGTAAGCATAATAAAATATAACTTCCACATATATATTTTTTATTTTTAGCTAGTAACCCTACTTGGGATGTGGCTGGTGCCTTTAGGACTTTGTTTGAAAAGCTTGTGGTGGAGGTTTATATTTGTATGGTTGCTGTTTTCCTGTATTACCTGTTTAATTGTTAGAAAAGCTATACAAAAACCTATTGACAGGACTACACCGAGGTGATATATACATTAAATTAATTAAAAATTAACTTACCTCAAAATGATCTTCACAACAAAACCAACAAATATTTTTTTTTACTTCAGATTGGTTTATAAATGGTTTCTCCTCCTTCACAAATTAAGTTACGGCTTAGGTCTGATTGGTTATTTTATAATGATGGCGACATTTTTTGGTCTCAATTTCGTATTTGATGCCAAGCCAAACAGTTGGATGGATTGCGGTTTGTTATTTATATTTTATGGACTGTATTATGGAGTGCTAGGACGAGATATTGCCGAAATTTGCGCTGACAAGATGGCGGCGCACATTGGAGTAAGTTAATTTAAATAGTTTCTAATTTCAGGTTTAACTAAGTTAGAATTCAGGTTATTTTAGTGTTGTATTCATTCAATTATTCATAGAGCTGGTGGAAGGGCTGGGCGGTTACGAGGGGCGCATAATGGACCAAAATTGAGTCCAAAAAGTTAAAATAAGCAAAAAAATCAAAAAGGACAGAAAAGTCAAAAGTCAAAAAATAAAAAAGTCAAAGAAAGTCCTAAAAAGTTCAAAAAAGGTCCTCTGTGCGTTCAGCATCGAGTCAACAAAAATAATTCCGGTTAAGCAGCTAAACAATCCTGTCGCGCAACAAAAAAAGTCAAAGAAAGAAAAAATTAAAAATCAAAGAGTAAGAAAAAAAAGTCCAAGAAAATCTTAAAAAGTAAAAAAAAAGTTTAAGGAGCTAAAAAAATCCTGTCACGTGACAAAATAAGCAAAAATAAAAAATGGTAAAATAAATAAATGTCAAAAAAGTCAAAAAAAGTAAAAAAAAAATCAAAAAATAGTCATGAAAAAATTCAAAAAAGATAAAATAAATGGCAAAAAAGTTAAAAAAACAGTAAGAAAAAAAAGGTAAAAAAAGTCTAAGAAAGTCTTAGAATGTCCAAAAAAAGTTTAAAAAAGTCCTCGTGCGTTCAGCATTGGAGTAACAAAAATAATTTCGGTCAAATAGCTAAAAAATCCTGTTGCGTGACAAAAAAGACTAGCAAAAGAGTCAAAAATAAAAAAAATTGGCAAAAAAGTAAAAAAATATCAAAAAATAGTCAAGAAAGTCAAAAAAATTAAAAATAAAATAGTCAAGTAAGTCAAAGAAAGAAAATAGGTAAAAAATATCCAAAAAAACGAAAAAATTTTTTAAAAAATAAGTAAAAAAAATTCTGTCGCGTGACAAAAAAGGCTAAAAAAGGACAAAGAAAGTTCAAACAGTCCTAAAAAGTCCAAAAAAGATAGCGTTTAGCAAATAATTTCGGTTAAGGAGCTAAAAAATTCTGTTACCTGACAAAAAAGACTTGAGCAGCAAAAAAAGTGAAAAAGTAAAAAAAATAAAAAACAAAAACTAAAAAAGTCCAAGACAATCTTAAAAAGTCTGAAAAAAGTTCAAAAAAGGTCTTCGTACGTTTAGCATTGGGTTAACAAAAATAATTTCGGTAAAGGAGCTAAAAAAATCCTGTCACGTGACAAAAAAAGACTTGACCAAAAAAGTCAAATGTCAAAAAAATCAAATAATAGTCAAGAAAGTCAAAAAATCAAAAAATAGTCAAGAAAGTCAAGAAGACAAATAGCAAAAAACTCGAAAAGGCGAAAAAACGTCAAAAAAATAAAAAAGTAAGTAAAAAAGTCAAAAAATCCTGTCGCGTGACAAAAGAGACTTGAGGAGCAAAAAAAGTCAAAAAATAAAAATAAAAAAGTATGAGAAAGTAAAAAAAAGGAAGAGAAAATCAAAAAAAAGGAAAAGAAAGTTCAAAGACTGTCCTAAAAAGTCCAAAAAAATCCTCTACGCGTTCAGCATTGGGTTAACAAAAATAATTTGGGTTAAGGAGCTAAGAAAATCCTATCGCGTGACAAAAAAGACTTGAGCAGCAAAAAAGTTAGAAAAAAGGTTTAAAAAAGTCTAAAAAAGGTCCTCGTGCGTTTAGCATTGGATAACAAAAATAAATTCTGTTAAGGAGCTAAGAACATCCTGTCGCGTGAAAAAAAGGACTTGAGGAACAAAAAAAGTCAAAAAATAAAAATAAATAAGTATGAGAATGTCAAAAAAAGGAAAAGAAAGTTTAAAGACATTCCTAAAAAGTCAAAACAGTTCAAAGAAAGTCCTCTGCGCGTTCAGCATTGAGTTAACAAAAATAATTCCGGTTAAGAAGCTAAAAAAAGTCTTGTCGCTTGACAAAAAAGACTTTAGCAACAAAAAAAGTCAAAAAAAGAAAAAATTAAAAACCAAAAGTAAGAAAAAAGTAAAGAAGACCAAGAAAGTTTTAAAAAGTCCAAAAAAAAGTTTAAAAAAGTCCTCGTGCGTTCAGCATTGGGGTAATAAAAATAATTTCGGTTAAGGAGCTAAAAAAATCCTGTCATTTGGTAAAAAAGACTTTAGCAAAAAAGTCAAATGTCAAAAAGTAAAAAATATCAAATAATAGTCGAAAAAGCAAAAAAAAACGTCAAAAAAATAAAAAAAGTAAGTAAAAAAAATCTGTCGCGTGACAAAAAGACTTGAAGAGCAAAAAAGTAAAAAAAAGTTAATGAAGTAAAAGAAAAAGGCAAAAAAGTCAAAGAAAGTTCAAAGACTGTCCTAAAAAGTCCAAAAAAATCCTCTACGCGTTCAGCATTGGGTTAAAAATAATTTGGGTCAAGGAGCTAAGAATCCTGTCGCGTGACAAAAAAGACTTGAGCAGCAAAAAAATAAGAAAAAAGGTTAAAAGAAGTCCTAAAATGTTTAAAAAAAATGTCCTCGTGCGTTTAACATTGGGTTAACAAAAATAAATTCGGTTATGGAGCAAAGAAAATCCTGTCGCGTGACAAAAAAGGTTTGAGGAGCAAAAAAAGTCAAAAAATAAAAAAGTATGAGAAAGTCAAAAAAGGCAAAAGAAAGTTCAAAGACAGTCTTAAAAAGTCATATAAAAGTTCAAAAAAATCCTCTACGCGTTCAGCATTGGGTTAACCAAAATAATTTTTGTTAAGGAGCTAAAAAATCTTGTTGCATGACAAACTTGAGCAGCAAAAAAGTCTAAAAAAAATAAAAAAAAAAACCAAAAAGTAAGAAAAACGTAAAAAATAAGAACTAGTTAAGAAAGTCAAAAAGTAAAAAAAAAATCAAAAAATAATCATGAAAAAAGTCAAAAAAGGTAAAATAAATGGCAAAAAAGTCAAAACAAAATAAAAAAGGTAAAAAAAAAACGGCAAAAAAGGCCAAAGAAAGTTCAAAGACAGTCCTAAAAAGTCCAAAAAAGTTAAAAAAAAACCTCTACGCGTTTAGTATTGGGTTAACAAAAATAATTTTGGTTAAGGAGTTAAAAAATCCTGTTGCGTGACAAAAAAGACTTGAGCAACAAAAAAAATGAAGAGTAAAAAAATTAAAAAAAAAATCAAAAAAGGTAAAAAAGTCTAAGAAAATTTTAAAAAGTGAAAAAAGTTCAAAAAAGTACGTTTAGCATTAACAAAAATAATTTTGGTTAAGGAGCTAAAAAAATCCTGGCAAAAAAAAAAACTTTAGCAAAAAAGTCAAATGTCAAAAAGTAAAAAATATCAAATAATAGTCGAAAAAGCAAAAAAAAAACGTCAAAAAAATAAAAAAAGTAAAAAAAAATCTGTCGCTTGACAAAAAGACTTGAAGAGCAAAAAAGTAAAAAAAAGTTAATGAAGTAAAAGAAAAAGGTAAAAAAAGTCAAAGAAAGTTCAAAGACTGTCCTAAAAAGTCCAAAAAATCCTCTACGCGTTCAGCATTGGGTTAACAAAAATAATTTGGGTCAAGGAGCTAAGAATCCTGTCGCGTGACAAAAAAGGTTTGAGGAGCAAAAAAAGTCAAAAAATAAAAAAGTATGAGAAAGTCAAAAAAGGCAAAAGAAAGTTCAAAGACAGTCTTAAAAAGTCATATAAAAGTTCAAAGAAGGTCCTCTGCGCGTTCAGCGTTGGGTTTGCAAAAAAATTACGCCTAAGGGGCTAAAAAAATCCTGCCGCGTGACAAAAAAGACTTTAGCAAAAAAGTAAAAAAAAATTCAAAAAATAGTTAAGAAAGTCAAAAAAATTAAAAATAAAATAGTCAAGTAAGTCAAAGAAAGAAAAAAAATTAAAAAAAATCCTCTGCGCGTTCAGTATTGGGTTTACAAAAATTATTTTTGTTAAGGAGCTAAAAAATCCTGTTACGTGACAAAAAAGACTTGAGGAGCAAAAAAGTCCAAAAAAGTAAAAATAAGAATTAAAAAAGTGAAAAATGGCAAAGAAAGTCTTAAAAAAGTTCATAAAACGTCCTCTGTGCGTTCAGCATTGAGTCAACAAAAATAATTTCGGTTAGGGAGCTAAAAAATCCTGTTGCGTGCCAAAAAAGACTTGAGGAGCAAACAAGTTCAAAAAAAAGTCCGAAAAGTGAAAAAAGTTCAAAAAAAATTATGTCACATTGTGTCAGAAGAGACATGATCAGCTTAAATTGTAAGAGCTTGCCCGATCTAAATATATTCCTTCCGCCGGCACTGCTCTCACTCATAAACGTACTTATAGAGCCTACATAATATTTTTATTATATCCTTTTCCAAGTTAACATCGATTAAAATTTTAAAAAATATTTTTTTTTAGTATTATTCCCCACAAGGTATTAGTACTAGAAATCTGGAACCTTTAGTTTGCGCCGTTTGCGGAAACAAGTTATTGGTCGACGAAAACGAAGAAGGGGTCATAGAAAATACCTACAAATTAAGTTGTGAACATGTGTAAGTTCATTTATTAATCGTTAAGGGTGGGCAAAGAAATGATTATTAAAATTTAAATTTTATCCTTCCTAATACTGTACTGATTTAAAATTAACTTACATCAAAATGATCTTCACAACAATCTAAATTTTATTGCCATATTATTTCTTCCTCTTTTAGATTTCACGAGTTCTGCATTAGAGGTTGGTGTATTGTAGGAAAAAAACAAACATGTCCGTATTGCAAAGAAAAGGTAGACTTGAAAAAAATGTTTTCCAATCCGTGGGAAAAACCGCATATGCTGTTTGGTCAACTCCTCGATTGGATTAGATGGTTGGTGGCGTGGCAACCGATGATTTTATTCCTTGTCCAAGGTATTAACTGGGTTTTAGGTCTAGAATGACGAGGCTAATTTTATTCATTTTTTTATGTATATTTGTTACATTCTTAAATTATTGAAAATAATAAAATATCTGTTTTTTTTTTGTTCAAGATTTTATTTATTTCTTACAGATTACAGAAAGGATTCAAATTTTACTTTTGTATCAAGAACTAGGAATTGACTATTGTTATATTATAAAAATAGAAATTTTACAAATTATGGTCGTCACAATCCATTTTGGTGTTCCAATGATATATTTTTCAATTCATTTGGAATGTTTAAAAAAGTATTACAAAGTTAGTAGAAAAGTTTGTTCGTTTACTATTTTTTAAATACATTTTTTTATGTTTGCCTAATTATTTGAAGAAACATTTGTTGGATTGTACTGTCAATGAGGTGGCGCCATCTAAGGCGGTGTTAAGCAGACATTTAAAAAAAAAACGTGAATATATCGTGAAAAAGGTTAAATTTGGTCTTAAAACCAATTTTCAGCTTTTGAATATAGAAAAAATTAATTTTCTAAATTTTTACTTCAATACAAGCTTATGTTTATTTTAAAAACATCTATATAACTATATATCATTGACCCTGTCAAACTCACCAGGCCAATGTTGTCATATCAATGACCACAGGAGCGCGTTCTGGGGGGCTATTTTCAAAGTATGGAGGCACTCATTTCTCTCAAGATTCTCATCAGAAATGTCAATATGAAAACGCTGTGTTTAAAGGCCTCGAGGTTTAAAATTTTTAGGAGAATTTTAATTCTCTATAAATAAACCGAAAAAAATGTAGCACTAGCCCCAAAAATACTGTTTTAGGTTGACTTCTGACATTTCTCTTAAGAGAAATGAATACTCTCAAGATTTTCACGAGAAATGTCATGTTATCGTGAAAACAGTATTTTTAGAGCCAGTGAGAACCCACTGACTGTTTTTCTTGGTTTATTTCGAGAGAATTCAAACTCTCCTAAAGGCTGTATGTCACGATACTAAATTAAGTACTAAATTTAGCACTAAATTAAGATATTAATTTAGTACTAAATTTAGAACTAAAAATATTTTTTTCCGTTTGCAACGATACCAATTTTTAGTACTAAATTTACTATAGGCGCACGCGCATTGACGTATTAATACGTAAAATTAACAGAGAAATGAAATATTATGTGTAAAACAGACAAGTAAATGGTGTTTTTATTATCAATTTGACACTAGTTGACTTGACAACAACCAAATACAGCATAAAAACCACGAAAAAAACACAATAAAACCTACAAAATCAAACAAGCGAACTTTATTCAAGGCGATAATGTAAAATTGTCGCTAATTAAAAATAAAAGGGTACAGAAAATACCGTCGTGTCAACTTTTTCTATGAAAAACTTCTGCGCAACATTTCGGCGCACTTTTAGTACTTAATTAATGACTTTTTTTAGCACTAAATTTGCTGTTTGCAACGTGAATTTTTTTAGTACTTAAAAAATGCATTAATTTAGTTCTAAATTTAGTACTTAATTTAGTATCGTGACATACAGCCTTAAGATTTTAATTCTGACTGGCTTTTAAAATACAGTTTTTACGTTGATGTGTGACATTTCTCATAAAAATCTTGGGAAAATTCATTTCTCTGAAGAAAAATGTCATATGTCAACGTAAAACAGTGTTTTTAGAACCACTGACTGTTTCTCTACGTTTATTTAGAGATAATTAAAATTCTCCTAAGAATTTAAATCCTACATGCCTTTAAAAACAGCGTTTCCACATTGACGAATGACATTTCTGATGAGAATCTTCAGAGAAATGTTTCCATGCTTTGAAAATAAGTCCTCAAAGGATTTTACACGGGAGTAGACTAATTGGCAACCATGTTGTCTTTGACAGGGTCAATGATACAAATATAGTTATATAGATAACTCGTAGCGGGTCGTTTTGTGAACGCCTATATTATCTGGAAAGTGCTCATTAATTATAACTATTTTACCAAAAATGTGTTTTAAAATCAATTTACAGCCTCTGAATATATTAAAAAATAAATAATTACCTACAATTTTACTTCAAGGCATAAATTTATGTATTATAAAATCAATCTATATAACTATCTATATCATTGACTCTGTCAAATCACCAGCCGCACAGCGTTGCCATTACGTATGTCAAAAATGCTTAATATTAGCTAAAGTAGACCATGCACTCCACATAACTATTTATACAACTCCAGTTTATAATATGCAGCGTAATTTTTTACTTTACCGTTCAGAATACGTTCGTAATGTTCTCCGCGAACGAATCTATTGTTCTTAGGGAAAAAGGCAATCATTTCCAAGTTAAACATCCTTGATACTACACTTTTGGCGTTTATATTCGATTTTATTTCGATAAAAATATAATTAGAACATAATAAAATCGATTTTTTAAAATCGTTTCTTTGTTCGCGGAGCTGATCTCAGTGCCAGACTTGCCTAAATTGGTTCCGACAAGTTCGCATGCGCGTTACTTTCGAAAACATTTACGGTATAACAAAAAATTAGGGAAATATGAAGAATGTTTTATTTCTCATGTATCTAATCTGAAAATATAATATTTTTTTGTCGAAAAAAACCGATTACTCGTCTTTATAAGCAATAAAAACAATCGGAATAAGCGAATTTTAATTCAAATATCCTTTTTTTGTTCGTTTGAAAAGATTAAACCTTTTTTACACGGGGATTTTTATTTCAAACAATCCATGGGTTAAAAGTCAGACGAATCTTCTTTTTTTTTTCTTTATGGACCTTACAGACCATACAATAATTTTTTAAATTATAAATATGTATATTTATGAATCAAAAATTGAGTTTCAAAGTACTTAAAAAATTTGTAGTGCTTGGACTGCTTTATATTTCACGACTGGATATTTAAAAATTTCAATTTGTTTTCTTTTTCTTTTAAGAATAAAGTATTGGATTACAAATGTTAGTTTTAATTAATTAATAATTATTAGTATTATTATATTACATATATAAATACATTTTATTTAGTAATTTAAAAGTTTGTTTATTTGATATAGAGGGTATATTGATCAGCGCGGTACTGGAGAAACAACGCTAGTCAAATTAGTGATCGAATGAACTGTCGTAGGAAAGCTTGTTGCAAATGGCATTTTTGACAAGTCCAGAAAATATAAATAAATTAAATGTGTATTTTATACAAAACTTTTAATATCCATCGCCGAGTTATTTATTTTGATGAAATTGTTGATGTTGAAAGTCGTATCTTATGTCTTCGTATGTATTGATCTACGAATAGGTTATGTTTCCAACTTTCATTAGCATCCTAGGTGTGTTTACTGTTTATAAACTACTCAAATCGAAATTTGGTAAATTTGTTTAGTGCTTTTTAAGAATTTCTATTTTTCTTTCAAGATATTCAATCATGGTGGGAGGTCCCAAGCATCGCTCACTTTTGTTCTCTATTTCGAAGTGCTTTTAATCTTTTGGATTTCGATATTGAGGTAAGTCTTTCTTTTTTATTAAAAACTAAAAATCTCTCTCTGTTTACTTATATATTGTATTGAACACTGAAAATTCAATGTTAGGTCGTAACAAAGGTCAACATTTGCATACAGCATTTGGAAAATAATTGGTAATTTACATTATTTACATGAAATGGTTTGATTTAGTACACACATCTTAACTAATAATTTTCTTAACATATCAAGTTATAAATCTGTAGTAAAGATTGTTTATGCATAAAACACAATTCCATATACAGTTTAAACAGTAAATATATAAATAAAAATAGATAATAAGTATTTCAAATTGTTGTTTATTGTAGGTCTAATATAGATCTAAATAACTACTTTATTGGCACATAAAAAGCTCTATTACTATTGTAATATTTCATATTTGCACCATTATCATAATTCTGTCCCTTTAAATCCTCCATATGAATGTTATGAGTCTACAAAAAATCTAATTAAACATTAGTTAAATTCTGTCCTGTCGAATCCCAAAAAATGCTTCCTAATTTTTATTTGATTTATTACTTGATAGTACAAATCTTACTACAACAGTAAGTTGGTCTTGGGGAGTTATATCAGAGATGGAATCTAAAATAATAGAATAATAAATGGGAAATTATTATTAATATACATATTAATACATATACTTTGACTTGTATATAGATAATACAAATGCAATTAAAACTAACTAATCCTGCTAGTATTTCTGGATAATATTCATTAATTAAATAATCTGTGACCTGGTTATAAACTTTTATATAGAAATTTAATTTAAACGCAATATTTTTGAAGATAGAGTTGGCATGGTCTGTGAATTCCATAATTGCTGCTAAGTATTTGAATTTTTCTATGAATTGTATAGAATTTCCAACAGTGGTGATGTTATATTGTTTTTCAACAAATTGTGCATAGCCATAATAGTTACTTTTGTTTTATTTGTGTTTATTTTTAACAAATTATTGCAACACCATTTATAAACATTTTTCAGAGTTTCATTAACAATTCTTACTAAGTTATTTGGATGCTTGTAAGAAAAATATATAAAGGTATCATCAGTAAACAGGTGAATGTTATATTGATTCTGGAATCAACAATGTCATTGATATAAGTTAAAAATCTGATGTTTCCAATGTATGACTTTCCTATCTAGTTATTACAAGCTTTTTCTGGTTATTTTGTACAACCTATTGTAGCACCTCTGTAAATGTTTGGAGCAAAATTTTGTATGGAACAAAAATTATGAAGAATAATTGAAGAAGTAACTTTTATTTGAATAATTTTCTTCTCCAAACGTAAATAATGGATATAGGTCACAAAATATAAAAACGACCCCCTATAAAGTACCCCCCAGATGTTCCGACTCTGTCCAAAATTTAATAAGATCATTTCAGGCTAGAATAAAGCTTAATTTTAAAATTTGGTGTTTTTCTCTTTATCTGTTTTTAGTTTTTGTCAAAATTCAATATTTACACTTTTTCTTAAATATCTCGAATACGGTCCATTTTAAAGAAATTATGTATGGGATAAGAATTATAGAGAATTATATCCCAAACAACTTTTATTTAAACAATTTTCATAAAAATTTGAATTTTTTACATTTTGTCAAATTTCTCGAATACGGACCATTTTAGGAAAATTTTATATAGAACAAAAATTATAGAGAATAATATAAGAAGTAACTTTTATTTGAAGAATTTTTTTCCCAAAATGTAAATAACAGATATATTCCATAAAATATAAAAATGACCCCCTATAAAGTACCATCCCAAATGCTCCGACTCTGCCCAAAATCTAATCAGTTCACCTTAAGCCATAATTAAGGTTAAGTTTAAAATTTAATGTTTTTCTTTTTATCCGTTTTTGAGTTTTCTTCAAAATTCAAAATTTACACATTTTCTCAAATATCTCGAATACGGACCATTTTAGAAAAATTTTGTATAGAACAAAAATTATAGAGAATAATATTGGAAGTAACTTTTATTTGAAGAATTTTCTTCTCCAAACATAAATAATAGATATATTCCATAGAATATAAAAATGACCCCCTATAAAGTACCATCCCAGATGCTGCGACTCTGCCCAAAATCTAATCAGTTCACCTTAAGCCATAATTAAGGTTAAGTTTAAAATTTAATGTTTTTCTTTTTATCCGTTTTTGAGTTTTCTTCAAAATTCAAAATTTACACATTATCTCGAATACGGACCATTTTAGAAAAATTTTGTATAGAACAAAAATTATAGAGAATAATATTAGAAGTAACTTTTATTTGAAGAATTTTTTTCCCAAAATGTAAATAACAGATATATTCCATAAAATATAAAAATGACCCCCTATAAAGTACCATCCCAGATGCTGCGACTCTGCCCAAAATCTAATCAGTTCATCTTAAGCCATAATTAAGGTTAAGTTTAAAATTTAATGTTTTTCTTTTTATCCGTTTTTGAGTTTTCTTCAAAATTCAAAATTTACACATTTTCTCAAATATCTCGAATACGGACCATTTTAGAAAAATTTTGTATAGAACAAAAGTTATAGAGAATAATATTAGAAGTAACTTTTATTTGAAGAATTTTTTTCCCAAAATGTAAATAACAGATATATTCCATAAAATATAAAAATGACCCCCTATAAAGTACCAACCCAGATGCTGCGACTCTGCCCAAAATCTAATCAGTTCACTTTAAGCCATAATAAAGGTTAAGTTTAAAATTTAATGTTTTTCTTTTTATCCGTTTTTGAGTTTTCTTCAAAATTCAAAATTTACACATTTTCTCAAATATCTCGAATACGGACCATTTTAGAAAAATTTTATATAGAACAAAAATTATAGAGAATAATATTAGAAGTAACTTTTATTTGAAGAATTTTTTTCCCAAAATGTAAATAACATATATTCCATAAAATATAAAAATGACCCCCTATAAAGTACCATCCCAGATGCTGCGACTCTGCCCAAAATCTAATCAGTTCACTTTAAGCCATAATAAAGGTTAAGTTTAAAATTTAATGTTTTTCTTTTTATCCGTTTTTGAGTTTTCTTCAAAATTCAAAATTTACACATTTTCTCAAATATCTCGAATACGGACCATTTTAGAAAAATTTTATATAGAACAAAAATTATAGAGAATAATATTAGAAGTAACTTTTATCTGAAGAATTTTCTTCTCCAAACATAAATAATAGATATATTCCATAAAATATAATAATGACCCCCTACAAAGTACCATCCCAGATGTTCCGACTCTGCCGGAATAAAGCTTAAGTTTAAAATGTAATGTTTTTCTCTTCATCCGTTTTTGCTTCTTGATTGTACGTAGATAAATATTATAGGACAAAAAAAAAATAAAAAAAAAAACAAGAAAACAAATAAAAGCACAAAAAAAACGAAAAAAAAAATTTACAAAATGTAAGAAATTAAAATTTTTAAGAAAATTTTTGAGAAAATTGTTCTAAAACGTAAAAAAAAGAACAAAAAAAACGAAAAAATAATAAAAATAATCAAAAAAATAAAAAAACAAAAAAAGAACGAGAAAAGGACAGAAAAAGAACAAAAAATATAGAAAAGAACATAAAACAAAAACAAACAAAAAAAGAAAAGAAAAATAAAATTTTTTACAGAATATAAAAAATACAAATTTTTAATAAAATTGTTCAAAAAAGTAAAAAGAACAAAAGAAAACCAAGAAAAAATCAAAAAAGACAAAAAAAAGAAGAGAAAAAACCAAAAAAAATAAAAAAAAAACAAATAAAAAAAAACGAAACAAAAAAACTATAACAAAAAACCAAAACAATTTTTTTTAGAAAATTCAAATTTTTAAGAAAATTGTTCAAATAAAAATTGTTATATTATTTTCTATAATTCTGGGGGTACTTTATAGGGGGTCGTTTTTATATTTTATGGCATATATCCGTTATTTACGTTTGGAGAAGAAAATTATTTGAATAAAAGTTACTTCTTTTATTATTCTCTATAATTTTTATTATCTAGAAAATTTTCCTAAAATGGTCCGTATTCGAGAAATTTTAATAAAATTTAAAAAATTAAAAAAAAACCAAAAAAGAACGAAAACATTAAAAATAGATTATAAAAAACAAAAAGAATAAAAAAAGAACCAAAGACAGTAAAAAAAAAGAACTAAAAAAAGTAAAAAAAAAAATTATTAAAAATTTGTATTTTTTATATTCTGAAAAAATTTAATTTTTCTTTTCTTTTTTTGTTTGTTTTTCTTTGTTTTATGTTCTTTTATATATTTTTATATTTTTTTTCCTTTTTTTATCCTTTTTTCCAAAAAAAAAAACAAGAAAAAAACAAAATTCAATTTTTTTTATAAAATTGTTCAAATAAAAGTTGTTTGTTATATTATTTTCTATAATTCTCTTTTAATACTAATTTTTGTAAAATGGACCGTATTCGAGGTATTTGAGAAAATGTGTAAATTTCGAATTTTGAAGAAAACTTAAAAGAAGATAAACAGAAAAACACCAAATTTTAAACTTAAACTATAGATATATATATATATATATAGATTAAACACCGACTAGACGTAAAATCTGGTCGGACGGTGGGCGGAGAAACAGCAGTGACGTCATCGTGCAGTCTTCCGTCGGATCGGAAGTTAAGTTGTGGAACATGTATATATTTAGTTTATCCTCTAAACATTTACAGATGTCCTACAATTGGTTGTACAAAATAACAAGAAAAAGCCTGTAATAACTAGATAAAAAAGTCTGACATCAGACTTTTTACTACAATAAAATAGCATTGACCATAATTTTCCAAAACTATTATTTATAACTAAATAAAAATCTTTCCAAGGAAGTATAACACTTTAATTACATAAACGTCACAGCAAAACTAAAATATTATAGGTATTGACAGTGCTAGGTTCCAATTACAATTAGAAGAACACAGCTACGTCATCATTTGGCAAAGTAAACTACTATCCAGTAGTCTATAGGCTTGTTCGGATTTTTTTTAAATATTAGTTGTCTAGTGATAAATTTAAAAGTTGGATCAAATTTGAAAGAAACCCGAACAAACCTAATTTTAACATAAACATAATTCATTATAGGACTTGGAAGAAGCTCTTCTAACAGATGGCACCGAGGAGTCGTCTTGGCTGCAAGATTTAATCGTCAGATTGCTCAGCGGTTGCCTTCCCAACAATGAAATATCCACTTTTAATTATCAGATGTTCCTAAGACGACTGTTTCGTCAAAAATGTCAAGAACATGATCAGTACAACCCGTTTAACACCGATATCGACTTTCAGTTACTCCCTTTGAGAACCAAAGTCGACATTTTACACGCCCTCTGCGATTTTCGTTTAGACGCCGAAGACGTGCTAGATCAATTGAAGAATTTAGAAGCCGACAGCCTTCGAGTGGAACCATTAGGATATGATACTAACGATTCCGCTTACTGGTATTTTTACGGTACTAGATTATACCGAGAAGATTACACGACAAAAAATAATAAGAAAAAAGCCGTGTGGCAAGTGATTTGTTTTACGGAAGACGATTGGTTCCAGCTGACTAAGAAGCTGAAAAAATCGAGTAATAAAGCTGATAGACAGTTGCATCTTACTTTGAGCGAAAATTTTCTTCCGGAATTGCCGAGGCTTTTTAAGGAAAAAGAAAATCTTGCTCGCAAACGTCTGTTAGAAAATTTGCCGAGAAGAACTTCTAGTCGATTAAAAAAATTGGTGAGTTTTTTTTTTCTACGATCATTATCAAAAATGCATGATTATTAATTTTTATTAATTTTTAATATATTTTTAAAGAAAAAAAAAAATTTTAATAGATTTTTTATGAAAATTGATTTATCCAAAATGTTTCCCCCAAAAAACTATTTGTCTGAATTTTTTTTTTATAAAAAACGTATTTTCGCCGATATTTAATTGTAAAACCTTAATTTAAACACCCGGTATATATAGATTAAACACCGACTAGACGTAAAATCTGGTCGGACGGTGGACTGCACGGTGGGCGGAGAAACAGCAGTGACGTCATCGTGCAGTCTTCCGTCGGATCGGAAATTAAGAAATGTAAAAAAATCAAGCGTGCCACTGAAAATTTATTATTTTCCCTGCAGGGGTCGCTTTATAACTAACAGCGACCCACCCCGTAGGGGTATTTTTTACATAGGGAAACACACCTACGGTTAGGTTAGATAGATCTAAATATCTATCTAACCTAACCGTAGGTGTATTTCCCTATGAAAAAAATACAACAATACATTCAAATTACAACCGGAAAAAGCCTGTAATAACTAGATAGGAAAGTCATGTGTTGGACACATCAGATTTTTATTTTCAATTATTTTTGTTTATTTTTTTACTAATTTATTTTCAGGTTACTTGAATTAAATAATAAGCAACTTTTTCTTTATGCATTTTTCGATTTTTTGAAAAATAATACAATTTTTGCAATTTCAAATAAAAATTGTCAAATTTGACATTTCCAAAGTCACGTGATTGACCGTTTACATGATGACAATCAATCTTTACAGCAATTAGGAAAAAAACATATAACGCGGACTTTATGTGTGACACTACATATTACTAACTGTTACACGTAAATAGAAAAAATGCATGATTTCTTAAAAAAAAGAACGATACTGTTCATTAAATTATTTATTTTTATATATTTTATATATTATTTATTTTTTATTAATTTTTATTTATTTTTATTAATTTTCTTTTATTTTTATTAATTTTTTTTAATTTTCATTAATTCTTATTAATTTTAATTAACTTTTATTATTTTTTAATAATCTTTATTAATTTTCATCAATTTTGATTATTTTTTAATAATTTTTTATTGATCTTTATTCGTTTTTATTAATTTTCATTGATTTTTATTAATTTTCATTAATTTTTATTAATTTTCTTTAATTTTGGTAAATTTTTATTATTTTTTATGAATTTTTATTGATCCTTGATCGCTTTTATTAATTTTTAAATTTTTTTATTGATTTTTACTGATTTTTAGTAATTTTCATTAGTTTTCATTAATTTTTATTAATTTTCATTGATTTTTATTAATTTTTATCAATTTTTTATGTTTTTATCTATTTTTATTAACTTTTATTCATTTTTATTAATTTTCCTCAATTTTTATTATTTTTATTAATTTTTATTAATTTTCAATAATTTTACTAATTTTTATTAATTTTTATTATTTTTTATGAATTTTTATTGATCTTTGATCGTTTTTAATAATTTTTAATAATTTTTATTGATTTTTACTGATTTTTAGTAATTTTCATTAGTTTTCATTAATTTTTATTAATTTTCATTGATTTTTATTAATTTTTATCAATTTTTTTATTAATTTTTATTAACTTTTATTAATTTTTATTAATTTTCCTCAATTTTTATTAATTTTTATTAATTTTCAATAATTTTACTAATTTTTATTAATTTTTATTATTTTTTATGAATTTTTATTGATCTTTGATCGTTTTTATTAATTTTTAATAATTTTTATTGATTTTTACTGATTTTTAGTAATTTTCATTAGTTTTCATTAATTTTTATTAATTTTTAATAATTTTTATTAATTTTCATTGATTTTTTATTAATTTTTAATAATTTTTATTAATCTTTGTTTTTATTAATTTTTTAATAATTTTTATTAATTTTTTATTAATTTTCATTGATTTTTATTAATTTTTAATAATTTTTATTAATTTTTTATTAATTTTCATTGATTTTTATTAATTTTTAATAATTTTTATTAATTTTCATTGATATTTAATAATTTTTATTAATTTTCTTTTATTTTCTTCAATTTTTATTAATTTTTAATGATTTTTATTGATCTTTAATTGTTTTTATTAATTTTTAATAAATTTTTATTGATTTTTACTGATTTTTATTAATTTTCATTAATTTTTACTAATTTTTATTTTAAAAACTGCAGAAATTATAAAGAAAACATTAAAAACACCTTGTATTTCGAATACGGATGCCGTTTCGAAATTTTTTTACTAACTCATCCCCACTCACTTTTAAATACTCTACCTAACATAGCAAGGGGGTACCTTCTTTTGAAACACCGTGTATAAACCACATTCATTTATTTTTTGTTTAAAATCTTCTTCAAATTATCGTTTGGCTAGTTCTTCATGGTGTTCACCCCATTTTGTTGCTGCACACGTGTCATGACACGTAAATGTCACGATGCGTTTAATTTTGGACTATACCGTAAACAGTATTTTTGTGCGTTGACGTTCACGTTTATGTTAACGTACCAGAAACACTTTAGGGTTTGATCCCGCGAATTTCATCTTGCTAGTTTGGAGGTTCTCCTCAATTTCATATAAAATTTCTTCTTCAGTTTCCTGACTCCTTTAGCCGAGGATTCACACCTTTAAGTATCATCATTTTTTTTTAATAGATATTATTCCTTGAAGAACCTCGCATACCGTCAAAATGTCTAATTAGATTTTGAGATACAGGGTGTTGAAATTATTTATCAATGTTTAGGAAACGGAAAATGAAAAAGACATCGAAAAGAAAGAGTTCAATGATGCCAAAGAAAAACTGAAAGCGGATAATCTTTCCTTGGAGGAAGAGACGAAGAAAAAAGATTTAGAAATTAGAAGACAGGCGGCTTACGAAAGGCGTTCGAAATTAAAGGAAAAAAGCGAAGATGAGAATTTAGAACAATCGAATGAGACGATGGCGAGTACTAGGAGTAAAAAATCCAAAACTAAGGAAAAATCAAATGTTAAAGGTTTGTATAATTAATTTTTGCTTGATATCAATTGATAATTTTTTTTTAATTTCTGTTTTAAGTTTTTTAAATGCATTTTTATTACATTTTTATAATTTTTAAAATTATTGATTTTTTTAAATTTTTATAAATTTATTTTTAGTAAATTTTTTAAAAAAAAATAAATTTTGTTTTTATTTTGAAGTTTTTAAATTTTTTTTTGAAATTTTAGATTTTTAAAAATAATTTTTAATTTTTTAAATGTTTTTAATAATTTAAATACTTTTTAATTTTTTAAATTTTTAATTTTTAGTTTTTTAAATTATTTTGTAGATTTTTCAAAATTTTTAAATTTGTTAACATTTTTTTTTAATTTTTAAATTTTCCATTTTTTTTTATTTTTATTTTTATTAGATTTTTTTAATTTTTTTTTTTTTTAAATTGTATTTAGAATTTTTTACAGATGAGAAGTCTGAGAAAAGTTCGAAACTCAATAAAAAGCGCGACAAACAATATGACGGTGAAACAAAATTGCTGCTTTCGAAACCGACCACGGTGGGCCGTCAGACTAACAACTCGCTGTCTGCTGCAACCGGACAAATTCTTATCGAACCAATGAAAAATACGAATAAAAAGAAGTTGAAGACGTCGCAAGTGTAAGTATTTTTTCATTTTTTAATAGTATTTGTGAAGTGTTTTATTGATTCGTCCAGCTAGATATACATATTGGACCACTGTAACGTTTCGGTTTCCACAGCAATATTTTTATCAGAAAAAACAACAATTTAAATATAATTTCAGTTATACAGGGTTCTCTAAAAAGTGATAAATATCAACGTTAAGTTTTTTTTTAAATGGAACACTCTGTATTTTATTTTTTATTTGAATTTTTCTCGCTTGGACGTCGATGGATAAGTCCGACTAGTCTGAAAAGTTAACTAAACACACTTTTCATAATTCAATAAAATTCAATAAAATATAATTAAATTCAATAATATTTAATAAAAATTCATAAAAAAAGTAATAAAAATTCATAAAAAAAGTAATAAAAATTCATAAAAATTAATAATAATAAAAATTAATAAATATTGATAAAAATTAATAAATATTGATAAAAATTAATAAAAATTGATAAAAAAAATTTATAAAAATTGATAAAATTAGTAAAAATTGATAAAAATTAATAAAAATTGATAAAAGGTGATAAAATTAATAGAAATTGATAAAATTAATAAAAAGTAAATAAAAATTGATAAAATTAAATAAAAATTAAATAAAAATTGATAAAAATTAATAAAAATTGATAAAAATTGATAAAAATTGATAAAAATTGATAAAAATTGATAAAAATTGATAAAAATTAATAAAATTAATAAAATTAATAAAAATTGATAAAATTAATAAAAATTGATAAAAATTGATAAAAAGTGATAAAAAGTGATAAAAATCAATAAAAATTAATAAAAATTGATAAAAATTGATAAAAATTGATAAAAATTTATAAAAAATGGTAAAAAAATTGATAAAAATTGATAAAATTAATAAAAATTGATAAAATTAATAAAAATTGATAAAAACAAACAAAATCGATAAAAATTAATAAAAAATGGTAAAAATTGATAAAAAATGTAAAAATTGATAAAAACTGTTAAAAATTGATAAAATTAATAAAAATCGATAAAAATCGATAAAATTAATAAAAATTGATAAAATTTGATAAAAATTGATAAAAATCGATAAAATTAATAAAAATTGATAAAAATTGATAAAAATTGATAAAAATTGATAAAAATTGATAAAAATTGATAAAAATTGATAAAAATTGATAAAAATTGATAAAAATTGATAAAAATTGATAAAAATTGATAAAAATAATAAACCATTTTTAACTAAATACAAGTCGTTTTTTGTTAAGCTCATACATTTTACAGGTTTCGTCAAACTGACGAAGATTTACAAACGGGGATGCATAAAATTTTGGATTTCGTTAAAAGTCACGAAGACGCCTGGCCTTTTACCGATCCGGTCGAAGAAGAATACGCGCCGAATTACTACTCGATTATCAGAAAACCGATGGATCTGCAACGGATGGAAGAGCGATTGGACTCGGGATATTATAAAAATTTCGATAAATTTCGCGGCGATTTTCAATTGATCGTTGATAATTGCAAGCTTTATAATGGAGCAGAAAATGGTAATAAATTTTAATAATCACAATAATAATATTAATAATTTTAATAATATTAATAATATTAATAATATTAATAATATTAATAATATTAATAATATTAATAATATTAATAATATTAATAATATTAATAATATTAATAATATTAATAATATTAATAATATTAATAATATTAATAATATTAATAATATTAATAATATTAATAATATTAATAATATTAATAATATTAATAATATTAATAATATTAATAATATTAATAATATTAATAATATTAATAATATTAATAATAATAACTTTTTGTTTATAAATTTTTTTTAATTCTTTAAATTTATTCTCAGTAAAGTTTTTAATTTAATTATTCATTTTTTTGAATTTTTTAAATTTATTTTTATTAGGTTTTTAATTTTTTGAAATTTTAAAATTTATTTTTATTAGATTTTTAATTCCTTTAAATTATATTTTTAGCAATTTTTTTTAATTCTAAATTATTTTAATTTTTTTTTTTAATTTTTGAAATTTTTTTAAATCTTATTTTTTTTTAATTTTTTAATTTATTAATTTTTTAAAATTTATTTTTATTAATTTTTATCTTCAATTTTTAAAATTTTTTAAAATTTATTTTTATTAAATTTTTTAATTCTTTTAAATTATATTTTTAGCAATGTTTTTTTAAATTTTTTGAAATTTTAAAATTTATTTTTATTAGATTTTTAATTCCTTTAAATTATATTTTTAGCAATTTTTTTAATTTTTTTGAATTTTTTTAATTCTAAATTATTTTAATTTTTTTTTTTTTAATTTTTGAAATTTTTTTAAATCTTATTTTTTTTTAATTTTTTTATTTATTAATTTTTTTAAATTTATTTTTATTAATTTTTATCTTCAATTTTTAAAATTTATTTTTATTAGATTTTTTAATTCTTTTAAATTATATTTTTAGCAATTTTTTTTTTATCTTTTGAAATTTTAAAATTTATTTTTATTAAGATTTTTAATTCCTTTAAATTATATTTTTAGCAATTTTTTTAATTTTTTTTAATTTTTTTAATTCTAAATTATTTTAATTTTTTTTTTATTTTTGAAATTTTTTTAAATCGCATTTTTTAAATTTTTTTATTTATTAATTTTTTAAAATTTATTTTTATTAATTTTTATCTTCAATTTTTAAAATTTTTTAAAATTTATTTTAATTAGATTTTTTAATTCTTTTAAATTATATGTTTAGCAAATTTTTATTTTTTTTTTCAAATTTTTTTAAATTTTTGAATTTTTTAAAATTGTTCTCAGTAAATTTTTTAAATTATATTTTTAGCAAATTCTTTAAAAAAAATTATTATTTTTTTAAATTATATTTTTAGCAAATTTTCAATTTTTTTCAAATTTTTTGATATTTTTGAATTTTTTAAAATTCTTTAATTATTTTTTTAAATATACCTTTCCCGTTAAACTTGATAGAATCATACCATTTCCAGTTCCCAATATCTTCATATCAAAATATTTTAAAGGCGCAAATTCTTCAGTTATAAATAAAGATTGTGACCCGGTATCTAATAAAGCTTTACATTCCCATTTTTTTTATATATATAGAATATACGGAAATGGTCGATAACCTTCAACAAGTATTTCAACGAGGCACCGATAAGTACTTAGACCAAATATCTTCATCGGACGACGAAATCGCCATTGAATTCTGCAACGAAAACAACTCCAAGTCCAAAACCAAAAAATCCGAAGAACCGATCACCAATTCTCGCAGAAAACCGATGCTAGCAGCCCAAACGGATAGAAAACGCGAGCGATCCGAATCAGAAACGTCTTTGAACAGCAAACGAAGCAGATCGAGCGAATCGCCTCTTAGAGAAGTCGTCACCAGGTCTACCAAACATAGAAAACACGATCACATTGAAAACGTATCGGAAAAATCGAAAAAAACAAACAAATCGAAGAAAGATCGAGACGAATCCAAAAAGAACGAAATTAAAAAAGAGAAATCCAGTTCGAAAAAGGAACTTCGAAATAAATCCAAAAAGGCCAGCAAGCGAGAAAAGGAAAAGGAGAAAGAAAAGAGAATAGAAAAGGAAAGGAAAATTGAAAAGGAAAAGAAGAAGAAAATTAAAAGTAAACCGAGCCGGAGTCCGAGTTTGAGCCCGCCTCCGAGCGACAGCCCGCCCCCTTCGAGTCCCGACAGCAGATTCGATTACTTTCCTAAAAGTACGTCGAAACGAAAACAGCACGAAGAATTGTCGGATTTTGAAAATCTACCCAAAGAAGGTGACGTAACAATTTGCATTAATTTTTTATTTAAAAATCCGTGACATTTGAGATATGGGCTTAGTATGTATCGATGCATTTTCCATATATACTGGTCAGAATTAGCACATCAAATTGCTAAATTGGAATTTTGACAGTCAATTTCGTCATGGAGAAGGTGACGTAACAATTCGCTTTTAATAAATTATATAATTAGTTTGATTGTATTAATTTTTTATTGGTCTTAATAATTTTTGAGATTTTGATATATGGGCTTAGTATGCATCAATGCATTTTCTATATATATATATATATATATATATATATATATATATATATATATATATATATATATATATATATATATATATATATATATTTACTGATGCTTTATTTAGATTTGAGAACGAGCCTGAAATTAACACATCAAATTGCTAAATAGTAATTTTAACAATCTTGGTATAGCGGTGAGGACATTTGTCTGGAAAAGCAAAGATGTCTGGGTACGAATCCCAGTGACGACAGGTTTTTTCAAATCTACAATTATTTATTTTCACGGGGTTTGTTTCCGAAATTTGATATTATTCGAAAATTTATATTACTTTCTAAATTTTTTAAAATTTATTTTTATTAGATTTTTGACATTTTTTTAATTTTGAATTTTTTTAAATTGTATTTTTTTTTTTATTTTTTAAAATTTTATAAATTTGTTTTTATTAAATTTTTAATTTCGTTTTTAAATTTATTTTTATTAGAATTTTTTTTATTTTTTGAATTTTAAATTATATTTTTATTAAATGTTTTAATTTCGTTTTTAATTTTATTTTTATTAGAATTTTTTACATTTTTTGAATTTTAAATTGTTTTTTAGTATTTTTTAAAAATTTTTAAAATTCTTTAAATTTATTTTTAATAAATTTTTAATTTCGTTTTTAAATTTATTTTTATTAGAATTTTTTACATTTTTTGAATTTTAAATTATATTCTTGGTATTTTTTTAAATTTTTCAAAATTATTTAAATTTATTTTTATTTCGTTTTTAAATTTATTTTTATTAGAATTTTTTACATTTTTGAATTTTAAATTGTATTTTTAATATTTTTTTATTTATTAATTTTTTAAAATTTATTTTTATTAATTTTTATCTTCAATTTTTAAAAATTTTTAAAATTTATTTTTATTAGATTTTTGACATTTTTTTAATTTTGAATTTTTTTAAATTGTATTTTTTTTTTAATTTTTTAAAATTTTATAAATTTGTTTTTATTAAATTTTTAATTTCGTTTTTAAATTTATTTTTATTAGAATTTTTTTTATTTTTTGAATTTTAAATTATATTTTTATTAAATTTTTTAATTTCGTTTTTAATTTTATTTTTATTAGAATTTTTTACATTTTTTGAATTTTAAATTATATTCTTGGTATTTTTTTAAAATTTTTCAAAATTATTTAAATTTATTTTTATTAAATTTTTATTTCGTTTTTAAATTTATTTTTATTAGAATTTTTTACATTTTTGAATTTTAAATTGTATTTTTAAAATTCTTTAAATTTATTTTTTATTTATTTTTAGTAAATTATTTAAAAATTTTTAATCTAAATTTATTTTTATTAAATTTTTTAATTTTGTTTTTAAATTTATTTTTATTAAATTTGTTAGTTCTTAAAATTTTTTAATTTAAATTTATTTCTGGTAAATTTTTAAATATAAGTGAAAAACTTTTTTATTATTAGTTTTAGGAAAAAAAGTTGTTCTTCATAAAACGTCGAGCATGGTTTAAAACCTAAAATGCAACCATTAAATATCAAATTTTTACCATAGTATACAAGGTATGTCAAAAAATATGATTTAACTAAAAAGTAAAGTACCTTTACTTTTGACATATCTCGTATACTATTGTAAAAATTTGATATACGATAGTTGTATTTTAGGTACTAAACCATACCCGACGTCTTATGAAGAATAACTTTTTTTCTAAAATTAGTAGATACCCCTACTAAAAGAGATATTTGTATGTCACCAACTGTCTACCAAAGTGAATAACTTTTTTATTATTAATTTTAGGAAAAAAAGTTATTCTACATAAAACGTCAAGCATGGTTTAAAACCTAAAATGCATCCATCAAATATCAAATTTTTACAATAGTATACGAGGTATGTCAAAAAATATGATTTTACTTAAAAGTAAGGTACCTTTATTTATGATATACCTCGAATACTATTGTAAAAATTTGATATATGATGATTGTATTTTAAGTATTAAACTATACTCGACGTTTTATGAAGAATAACTTTTTTTCCTAAAATTAGTAGGTTTCTACTAAAGGATATTTTTGTATACCATCAATTGTCTACCAAAGTGAATAACTTTTTCATTGTTAATTTTAGGAAAAAAGTTATTCTTCATAAAATGTAGAGCAAGATTTAAAACCTTAATTGCAATTATCAAATAACAAATTTTTACAATAGTATACGAGGTATGTCAAAAAATATAATTTTACTAAAAAGTAAAGTACCTTTACTTTTGACATACCTCGTATACTATTGTACAAATTTGATATATGATGGTTGTATTTTAAGTATTAAACCATACTTGACGTTTTATGAAGAATAACTTTTTTTTTTAATTAGTAGGTACCTACTAAAAGAAATTTTTGTATACCACCAACTGTACGTGAGTAGGCGACATATGAGAATAACTTTTTTATTATTAATTTTAGGAAAAAAAGTTATTCCTTATAAAATGTCGAGCATGGTTTAAAACCTAAAATGCAACCATCAAATATTAAATTTTTACAATAGTATACGAGGTATATAAAAAAATATGATTTTACTGAAAAGTAAAGTACCTTTATTTATGACATATCTCGTATACTATTGTAAAAATTTGATATATGATGGTTGTATTTTAATTATTAAACCATACTCGACGTTTTATGAAGAATAACTTTTTTTTCTAAAATTAGTAGGTACCTACTAAAAGAGATTTTTGTATACCACCAACATTCTATGTAAGTAAAAAACTTTTTTATTATTAATTTTAGGAAAAAAAGTTATTCTACATAAAACGTCAAGCATGGTTTAAAACCTAAAATGCATCCATCAAATATCAAATTTTTACAATAGTATACGAGGTATGTCAAAAAATATGATTTTACTGAAAAGTAAAGTACCTTTATTTATGACATACCTCGTATATTATTGTAAAAATTTGATATATGATGGTTGTATTTTAGATATTAAACCATATTCGACGTTTTATGAAGAATAACTTTTTTTCCTAAAATTAATAATAACAAAGTTTTTTTATATGTCACTATTTTGGTACATAAATTCCATTCTCCACATCTATTTCGCACTAACGAAATATATAAACCAATTTTATTTCTAATAGGAAAACGACATTCCCAAACAAAAGACCTATTCGAAGATATCGAAGAAATCGACCACCATTTCGATAAAAAAATGAAAAAAGACGATCCAACTTCCATTTCACCCAAACCCAAAGACAAACACAACAAATTAAGGGAAACCATTGAAAAATTAAAAGCCAAAAGCGAAATCAAACTAAAAAACGAATTCGAATTCGAAGTGGACCATTCGAAAGAAAATAAAGATAAAACGAAGAAAATAGAAAAATTGGAAAAAGAAGAAAAGCATAATAAAAATAAAACGAAAGAGAAATCACAGAAAGTTATTGAAGTAGAGTTGGAAAGTAATAATACTATAGATAGTGTCGAATCGGAGAAGTTGAAGATAAATAAACCAACTTCAAACATGGACGCTCTGAGTATCGCCACAGAACAAACCTTAAAAGACATAAATAAATGGTTAGACGACACTCCGAAATTCACGGAATTCAGTTCAGCGAGCAATTCACCTTCCTACACCGGATTGGACGAACTAGACGCCATCACGAACAAAATAGATCAAATCCCCGGTAAAAAAATCGACAAACCTCTAACAACCAAAAAAGAACCATCAAACAGCAAAGATCCCAAAAAGAAACCATTCAGAGATCCATCGAAGTTCTTCAAAAGGCGCGAAGTCCAACGCACCATCGACCGATTGCAACCCGGCAAAAGCAAAGGGAATCTCATCGCGAACGTTCAAAACATCAACAAACAAGACGAAATTTTTCCCTTGGGTCCTTTATCTAAATTGAAAGATACCAAAAATTCGTTGATAGTTAAAACGAACACGAACGCACCGAAACTTAGTTTGGGATCCGTTTTGGACAGTTTCGGAAAGCATAAGTTCGATCAGAAGAAAGAATCCGAAGTAAAAATCGTCGAAGAAGTTAAAATTGAAGAAGTAAAGATGGATGTAGAGAGTGTTAGTGTTGCGAGTAAAAAGGTGGAAGAGGAAGTTAATAAGGAGGTAAAAGAGTTGGTTGTAGTTGAAGATGGTAATGGAGGAGCCACTCCGAATTTGAGCGCTTGGTTTAAAGCTTTCGGCGCGCCGAAAATACAACCGGTAACCAAAAAGAGCGAAAAATTGGAAGTTAAAGACGCGGAAGAGAAAACATTGTTACCGATTGTTTCTCCAACCACCGATAGTTCTCAAGGACAACCGGTATCGAGGCAAAGAAGAATCAGTACAGGCAGCAGCGTTTCGGAACGATCCAGCTTCAGTCAAGACATGGATTCGCCGCGGGTCGGTATAGACGAACGCGGCGCGTATCCCGCACCGTATCCGTCGCCGTTACACCGATCGCCTTCGGGAGCGTCGCCTATTATGGCTTCACCGCGACCCGATATATCCCCGAAAGCTGCGTATTCCACTATCAACGGACAGATTAGAGTGGGATTCTATCAGGATACCGTATCGAACAAAAGCAGTCCGGATAAATCTTCTCCTAGGGAAAATTCGCAATCGCCGTATCCGCATTATCCGGAACAACACGTTTATACTCCGAATACCACCGAAAATGCTTATTATTCGTATACGAATCCGCCGTACTACACGCACGTTCCTAATTATTCCAGTACGAATCCCACGCCCCCTTACAACACCGAAGGGAATTACTCGTTTTACGATGCCAGCAAATCTTATACCGCCAATTCTCCCGCCAGCAATCAACAATCGCCGGATCCGACGGTTGTTAATTCTCCTATCGCGCATTCGCAAATTTCTCCGGGCCTACATCCGCAACATTCTCCTGGCGTACTTTCGCAACATTCTCCGGGCGTACTTCCGCAACATTCTCCGGGCGTACTTCCGCAACATTCTCCTGGCGTACTTTCGCAACATTCTCCTGGCGTACTTTCGCAACATTCTCCGGGCGTACATCCGCAACATTCTCCGGGCGTACATTCGCAACATTCTCCGGGCGTACATTCGCAACATTCTCAACATTCTCCGGGCGTACATTCGCAACATTCTCCGGGCGTACTTCCGCAACATTCACCGGGCGTACTTTCGCAACATTCTCCGGGCGTACATTCGCAACATTCTCCCACTATCTATTCCCCACATTCTCCGACGGTTTTGCCGCAACAATCGCCGAATATTCAACCGCTGCCGAGTATCGTCAACTCCGTTGTATCCGAAACAACCGACGAACAAACTAAAAACGATAAATCGGCATTTCCCGTGAAGAAAAGGGCGTACAACGACACCGAACTACCGCAAATCACGAATCAACGATACGAAATCGATCCGCGGCTAACCCAGCAAATCGAATTGAAGAAAATTTCGATTACCAAAGATAAACCGGAATCGAAATCGTACGTCCATCAAAATATCCCCGATCCGAAGAATATAAACGTTCCGGACGAATTTTTTAACAAATTTAACAATTCCGAATCGAATTATCCGTTGAACGTGCCGGTAACGCAAGACATGTCGAAATATACCAACATGGGTTATACCGGTCCCGATTTGAATACGAGATCGCAAAGTTATCCCACTACATCGATATCGACGTCGCAAAAACCGGTTACGACGACCTACGGTAATCCTAACCTAGCTTTCCAGCAAATCGATTACAAGGGGGTGAAAACGACGTGTTCGCAACAATCGCTTACGAATTTCGCTACTTCTGCCGCGAAAACCGAAAATATCGCCGATAGACTATCGACTTACAGCTCGTCTTCGGCCGATGTCGCGCGAACAATGGCGAGCTTATCGCACATCGTCGATAGATTTAACAACGACGAACGGATGATGGCGAATTTACAAAATTCCTCGTCGTTCTACGCGGATAAATCGCACATTTTGAACAAACCGTTGTCGAATAGCGCGTCCGGTTTGCCGATTTTCAGTCAGGCCAATATGGCCGCTTTGCAGTCGTATAACCAAAGTATCCAAGCGAGTCCGTCTGCTTTGTATAATAGACAGTTGACGGATTTTCAAAATCAAGGTATGTTACAGAACGATTTGAAAAATAATCAGCAAGTTCAAAGCGAGGGGAAGAAAACGAAGAAGAGGAAGAGCAGTAAAAATGGTGAGTTTGATTTTTGATTAAAAATAGTTAATTTATTAAAAATATTACTATTTTCGTAATTTTTATACAATATTTGGCAAAATTGGCTACACGGCCGATTTTCACATCGATCATGGATTGTATTGAAAATTGGCTCGAATAAATAACCGATTTTCATATCGATTATGGATTGTATTGAAAATTGGCTCGGATAAATAGCCAATTTTCACCTCGATTATTGATTGTATTGAAAATTGGCTCGAATAAATAGCCGATTTTCGCCTCAAGTATGGATTATGCTGAAAATTGGCTCGTTTTTTTTGTTTCGAATTTTTATGACGTTTAGAGATTTTCGTCATCTGTCATATTTATCAAGATATGGCGTCATCGGATTGAATTTTTTTAAATATTAAAGGGGCGAAAGTTTGTATGAAACTTTCGTGTTTTTTAATGGTAAAAACTTGAAAATTGGCATTTTAGATACTCGTTATAAGTGAATAATGAAGTATTTCAAGGAGTTTTTAGATTTTAAGGACGAGGGAGGAGGAAATAAGGATTGTCATAAAAAAAATATAAATCAAAAAATAAAAATATTAAATAAAAATAAATTAAATGACAAAAAATAAAAATTCATAAAGATTTATAAAAATTCATAAAAAATCATAAAAATTCATAAAAAAATCCATAAAGATTCATAAAAAGTAACAAAAATTGATATAAATTATCAAAACATTAATATAAATTAATTAAAATTACTAAAAATTCATAAAAATTCGCAAAAATTCATAAAAATTATTAAAAAGTAACAAAAATTATTAAAAAGTAACAAAAATTAATATAAATTAATAAAAAATTGATATAAATTAATAAAAATTACTAAAATTTCATAAAAATTCATAAAAAGTAATAAAAATTAATATAAATTAACAAAACATTAATATAAATTAATAAAAATTAATAAAAATTAATAAAAACTAATAAAAATTAAATTAATAAAAATTACTAAAAATTTATAAAAATTCGTAAAAATCTATAAAAATTAATAAAAAGTAACAAAAATTAATATAAATTAACAAAACATTAATATAAATTCATAAAAATTCATAAAAAATTAATTAAAAGTAACAAAAATTGATATAAATTAACAAAATATTAATATAAATTATTTAAAATTACTAAAAATTCATAAAAATTCGCAAAAATTCATAAAAATTATTAAAAAGTAACAAAAATTATTAAAAAGTAACAAAAATTAATATAAATTAATAAAAAATTGATATAAATTAATAAAAATTACTAAAATTTCATAAAAATTCATAAAAAGTAATAAAAATTAATATAAATTAACAAAACATTAATATAAATTAATAAAAATTAATAAAAACTAATAAAAATTAAATTAATAAAAATTACTAAAAATTTATAAAAATTCGTAAAAATCTATAAAAATTAATAAAAAGTAACAAAAATTAATATAAATTAACAAAACATTAATATAAATTCATAAAAATTCATAAAAAATTAATTAAAAGTAACAAAAATTGATATAAATTAACAAAATATTAATATAAATTATTTAAAATTACTAAAAATTCATAAAAATTCGCAAAAATTCATAAAAATTATTAAAAAGTAACAAAAATTATTAAAAAGTAACAAAAATTAATATAAATTAATAAAAAATTGATATAAATTAATAAAAATTACTAAAATTTCATAAAAATTCATAAAAAGTAATAAAAATTAATATAAATTAACAAAACATTAATATAAATTAATAAAAATTAATAAAAATTAATAAAATCTAATAAAAATTAAATTAATAAAAATTACTAAAAATTTATAAAAATTCGTAAAAATCTATAAAAATTAATAAAAAGTAACAAAAATTAATATAAATTAACAAAACATTAATATAAATTCATAAAAATTCATAAAAAATTAATTAAAAGTAACAAAAATTGATATAAATTAACAAAATATTAATATAAATTATTTAAAATTACTAAAAATTCATAAAAATTCGCAAAAATTCATAAAAATTAATAAAAAAATAACAAAAATTAATATAAATTAATAAAACATTGATATAAATTAATAAAAATTCATAAACATTCATAAAAATTAATATAAATTCATAAAAAATACATAGATTCATAAAAATTTATAATAATTCGTAAAAATTCATAAAAATTCATTAAATTAATGAAAATTAATAAAAATTAATATAAAATTAATATAAATTAATAAAAAATCAATAAAATTTAATATAAATTAATAAAAATTAATAAAATTTAATAGAAATTAATGAAAAATTAATAAAAAATTAATAAAAATTAGTAACAATTAAAACAATTAATAAAAATCAATAAAAATAAATAAATAAACAAATAAAAATTAATAAAAAAATAACAAAAATTAATATAAATTAATAAAACATTGATATAAATTAATAAAAATTCATAAACATTCATAAAAATTCATAAAGATTCATCAAAATTCGTAAAAATCCATAAAAACTAACATAAAAATTCATAAAAAATACATAGATTCATAAAAATTTATAAAAATTCGTAAAAATTCATAAAAATTCATTAAATTAATGAAAATTAATAAAAATTAATATAAAATTAATATATATTAATAAAAATCAATAAAATTTAATATAAATTAATACAAATAAAAAAATCTGATGTGTCCAACACATGACTTTCCTATCTAGTTATTATAGGCTTTTTCCGGTTATTTTGTACAACCTATTGCAGCATCTCTATAAATGTTTAGAGGATAAACTAAATATATACATTGTCCACATACATCTACCTCGAAACATTTTTCTATAGATATTCATGGAAAACGAAAATACTGAAAAATTTAAATTTCCTACAATTTTTTCATTACGGTCCATTTTAGAGAAATCATGTATAAACAAAAATTATAGAGATCGATATCGCAAACAACTTTTATTTCAAAAACTTTCATAAAAATCAGAATTTTGCACATTTTGTCAAATTTCTCGAATACGGACCATTTCAGGAAATTTTTACATAAAACAAAAATTATAGATAATAATATTAGAAGTAACTTTTATTTGAACAATTTTTTTCTCCAAACATTAATAACAGATATATTCCATAAAATATAAAAGTGGCCTCCCATAAAGTACCCCCCAGATGTTCCGACTATGTCCAAAATCTAATCATTTCACGTCAGGCCGAAATAAACTTTAAGTTTAAAATTTAATGTTTTTTTCTTTATCCGTTTTTGAGTTTCTTCAAAATTCGAAATTTACACATTTTCTCAAATATCTCGAATACGGTCCATTTTAGAAAAATAATCTATAGAATAAAAATTAAAGAGAATTATATTACAAACAACTTTTATTTGAACAATTTTTATAAAAAATTATTTTTTTTACATTTTGTCAAATTTCTCGAATACGGACCATTTTAGAAAAATTTTGCATAAAACAAAAATTATAGATAATTATATTAGAATTAACTTTTATTTGAAGAATTTTCTTCTCCAAACGTAAATAACAGATATATTCCATAAAATATAAAAATGACCACCTATAAAGTACCCCCCCAGATGTTCCGACTCTGCCCAAAATCTAATCAGCTCATTGGACACTGAAACAAAGCTTAAGTTTAAAATTTGGTGTTTTTCTGTGTATCGGTTCATGAGTTATGCGTTATACAGACACACACACACACACACACACACACACACACACACACACACACACACACACACACACACACACAGACACACACACACATACATCATCGCGAAAATAGTCAAAACGGATTCAGGGGACCTCAAAACGTAAAAATCCGTCGAAAACTCGAGGTCGAAAAAAATCATGATTCCTATACTTTCCTTATATCTGTATACAGATAGGAAAGTAAAAATGATAAAAATTGATAAAAAATTGACAAAAAATGATAAAAAGCAATAAAAATTATTTTAACTAAATAAAAATTATTTAAAATAAATAAAAAAAAAGAAAAATTAATAAAAATCTAAAGATAAATAAAAGTAAATAAATAAACAAATAAAAATTATTAAAAAATAATGGAAATAATTAAAAAATAAGCAAATATAAGTAAAGACAAATAAAGAAAAATTAACAAAAATCAATAAAAATTAACAAAAATCAATAAAAATATATAAAAATAAATCCTAATAAATAATTTAATGGACACATTTTTTTTTTTTTTGGGGGAAGTAGTACATTTTTTTAAATTAAAAATACGAGAAATATTATTTATTTGAACTACTTACTACTCACATATGCAGTGTCTAATCAACTTTTTCATTATCGCTTCTGTGAAAAAAATTATTCTTGATAAAAACTTAAAATGCAATCTTTAGATATCATTTTTTTTAACCGTATACGAGGTTTGTCAAAAAATATGAACATTACTCGATAGTAAAATACATTAATTTTTATACTAGTATAAGATGGCGGGTATCGTTTATTGAAGTTAGAAAGAAAAATCATGCGCAGCGACAGGTCAAAAGGCCCTAAAACTTATATATCTTCGTTATTAATGGTCTGATTTTAATGGGAAAAACGGGGGAGGGTGGGGATTAAAATTTATTAACGTTGAATAGAATAGTTATGTTCAAATATTTAAATACAGTTATTTAGCATTAAAATACAGGGTTGTTGATTATTTATTCTATAACTGCAAATAATTTATGATGTAAAACAGTCAAATACTACTTGAATTCCATATTGATGGATTCAAAAATAAAGGATGTTTCTAAAATATATATATACAGGGTGATTCATTTAAAATTTCATCCGATGATCTTATATCTTGATAAATATAAGCAAATGTTGTCCAACCGTGTATATTTCAATATTTAACAACTCTACAGCTCCTACTGGCACCAGTGCAGCAGAAACGCAGCCGCAAACTTCCACGAACCAGGGCTTCCAGTCTTACGCTGGTTTAAAGGGAACTTCGTCTCTCGAACCCAGTGCGATATCGTTGAAAACTTCCAGTGTAGTGCCGGGTAGTGCTTTCAATTTCGGTCCGACGCCAGCCGGTTTGGGTATAAGCCCGGGACTGTACGCCGACAAAGACGGTTACCCGAATTTCTTGGACGAATTCCGATCGGCGCCGAACTATTACATGGCGGCCGCGGCGGCTGCGCATCACCGATCGGCGCCGGAAAATTCCGACAAACAAACGCGACCGGCTCATCAGAACTCCAATACGCAGTCGTATCCGTTTTTGGGCGCGCCTCAACGAACTAGTTATCCCATCGCGAGCCCGTTCATTCCCAACGCGCAAGCGCAATTGATGGACACCAGCTCGCCGTTGTATCAACACTACCTGCAGGCGGGTGTGCTGAATCAGGGGCTGTTACCTCCGCCCGGGGCGTATCCGCCCGGGTATCATCCCGCTTTGAGTATGAGACAGCCGTACGATTCTATGAATCGGCCGCCGTGGTTGTAGTTGTTTTAGGTTAAGTAGGTCTTTTACCAAAGCGTGCAAATGTTGTGTATCGATCAATTGTACATACATAGAAGCCGGAGGAATAGTCAGTATTATGAGTAATAGTTCAAAAGTGAACTGACATTTATTGGGTCCCGTTGACATCATTGTATAAAGAACTACAATAGGTACTCTTTGAGTCGATGTTTTATAGTGGACTGTATGTTATACCTCTTCTTTTTACTCTCTATAAGGCCCAGTTGTACCACTTCAGTTTAGGGGAGGTTCAACGGCACTTGGTTTAGACTGTGACGAACATCGTACTAACTATACCCAAATGTCACAATTAAAACCAAGTTTAGTTGAACCTAAATGGTACAACTGGACCTAATGGTCAAACATGAAGAACAGAATAATTGGATTGTCTATTTTGAGTGATTAAATTTTATTTTGTTTCGTTTCCCTAGTATTCTCGCCATAGGCGTATCAAAAGGTAGGTTTTGCAGTGCTCTGCGACAGGTACAATAATTCAACTAACGATTGTATTTGCTGGTCGAATACGCCCTCTACATCGATCGTTAAAAGTTACAATTATAAAAATATTTATTTCGAAAATTTGGGAATCCCATTTAAACAAGTATAATTTTTGATATGTTTGAACTACTTTTCCGAAAGCTTCAAATTCACTTATTTTTTAGTTATAAGATTTTATTTCTAATGAATTTTAACCTCCGGTACATTTGAACTACTGATTTTATTAACAATCTAGAACGTTTTAATTAAAAAAAAAATACGTATTTATAATTAATATTGATTTTTTAAGCGATACTTTTGAACTACTGATGTTGGTTAAAAGATATATAAATATTAAACATAACACTTTTTTAAAATCATTTATTTTTGTTTTAATTTTTAAGAGTTTATATTTAATTAATATTTAATGAAATTTAACATCGTACATTAGAACTACTGACTTGATTAATAATCTGATCAATCTAGAACGTCCATATTAAAAAAAAATACTCATTTATATTTAATGCCGAATTTTAAGCAGTACATTTGAACTACTGATGTTCATTAAAAGTTATATAAATATTAAACATGATACATTTGAACTACTTTTTTCCATTTCTTTAAAAAAATTTTTTTTTCTAGTTTTGAAGATTTATAATTAATTTCGTTTATATTTAATTAATTCCAACTTTCGGTACATTTGAACTACTAATCTGATTAACAATCTGACCAATCAGTTTTAATAAAAAAAATGTAATTTGTAATTAATACTAATTTTTTAAGCGATACATTTGAACTACTGATGTTGGTTAAAAGGTATATAAATATTAATAATGACAAATTTAAACTACTTTTTTTACATTTAATGAAATTCAACCTCGTACATTTGAACTACTGACTTGATTAATAATTTGATCAATTTAGAACAGCTAGATTAAAAAAAAAATACGAATTTATACTTAATACTCATTTTTTTAAGTAATACATTTGAACTACTGATTTTATTAACAATCTAGAACGTTTTAATTAAAAAAAAATACGTATTTATAATTAATACTGATTTTTTTAAGCGATACTTTTGAACTACTGATGTTGGTTAAAAGATATATAAATATTAAACATAACACTTTTTTAAAATCATTTATTTTTGTTTTAATTTTTAAGAATTTATATTTAATTAATATTTAATGAAATTTAACATCGTACATTAGAACTACTGACTTGATTAATAATCTGATCAATCTAAAACGTCCATATTAAAAAAAATACTTATTTATATTTAATGCCGAATTTTAAGCAGTACATTTGAACTACTGATGTTCATTAAAAGTTATATAAATATTAAACATGATACATTTGAACTACTTTTTTCCATTTCTTTAAAAAAAAATTTTTTCTAGTTCTGAAAATTTATAATTAATTTCGTTTATATTTAATTAATTCCAACTTTCGGTACATTTGAACTACTGATCTGATTAACAATCTGACCAATCAGTTTTAATAAAAAAAATGTAATTTGTAATTAATACTAATTTTTTAAGCGATACATTTGAACTACTGATCTGATTAACAATCTGACCAATCAGTTTTAATAAAAAAAATGTAATTTGTAATTAATACTAATTTTTTAAGTAATACATTTGAACTACTAATGTTCGTTAAAAGATATATAAATATTAATAATGACAAATTTGAACTACTTTTTTCAAATTCTTTAAAATCACTTTTTTCTAGTTCTAAGGATTAATAATTAATTATATTTAATGAATTTCAACTTCCGGTACATTTGAACTACTGATTTGATTAACAATCTGACTAATTTAGAATGTTTTACTTAAAAAAAATACGTATTTGCAATTAATACTGATTTTTTTAAGCGATACATTTGAACTACTGATCTGATTAACAATCTGACCAATCAGTTTTAATAAAAAAAAATGTAATTTGTAATTAATACTAATTTTTTAAGTAATACATTTGAACTACTAATGTTCGTTAAAAGATATATAAATATTAATAATGACAAATTTGAACTACTTTTTTCAAATTCTTTAAAATCACTTTTTTCTAGTTCTAAGGATTAATAATTAATTATATTTAATGAATTTCAACTTCCGGTACATTTGAACTACTGATTTGATTAACAATCTGACTAATTTAGAATGTTTTAATTAAAAAAAATACGTATTTGCAATTAATACTGATTTTTTTAAGCGATACATTTGAACTACTATTTTCAAATTCTTTAAAATCACTTTTTTTCTAGTTCTTAGGATTTGTAATTAATTTCATTTAAATTTAATGAATTTCAACCTCCGGTACATTTGAACTACAGAATTGATTGACAATCTAAACAATCTAGAACGCCTTAAATAAAAAAAATACGTATTTGTACTTAATATAGATTATATTTAAAAGATACATTTGCATTTGAACTACTGATGTTCGTTAAAGTGTATATTTGAACTACTTTCGCCAAAGGTTTCAAAAACACTTATTATCGCGTTACAAAGATTTATATTTAATAATATTCAATCTCTGGTACATTTGAACTACTAATGTTCGTTAAAGGATATATAAATATTAAACATGATACATTTGCACTATTTCTTTGAAAAGCTTTAAAATCACTTTTTTTTTAATTTGAATTTATATTTAATTTATATTTGATGAAATTCAACCTCGTACATTTCAACTACTGACTTGATTAATAATCTGATAAATCTAGAACGTCTAGATTCAAAAATATACGTATTTACACTTAATAATGCCGATTTTTAAACGGTACATTTGAACTACTGACGTTCGTTAAAAGATTAAACATGTTATATTTAAACATCTGTTTTCAAAATCTTTTTCTAGTTCTAAGGATTTATATTTAATTAAATTCAACCTGTGCTATATTTGAACTACTGATTTAATTAGCCGTTTTGAACGTCTAGATTTAAAAGGTACATATTTATACCTAATACCGATTTTGTTTGAGCAGTTCATTGGAACTATTGACGTACGTTAAAAAATATTAATGGTACATTTGAACTACTTTTTTCAGAGTCTTTAAAATCGCCTATTTTCTATTTCTAAGGATTTGTAGTTAATTTCATTTATAATATATTTAATTATGTTTAACCCTTGGTACATTAGAACTACTGACTGAATTAGCAATCTACCCAATTTTGAACGTTTAAAATAAAAACCTAGAAATGTATACATAAAACTGATTTTGTTAAAACGGTACATTTGAACTACTTTTTTTTAAAAGCTTCAAATTCGCTTCTTTTTTAGTTTCAAGAATGTATAATTAATTTCATATATATTTAATGAAATTTAACTTTCGGTACATTTGAACTACTGACTTAATTAACAATTTGATCGATTTTGAACGTCTAGATTAAGAAAATACGTATTTACACCTAATACAGATTTTGTTTAAGCAATTTATTTGAACTACTAACTAAAATCATCCAAATTCACTGTATCCAAATTCACCAACGTCATCTATTGGCAGTATTTGGCTCTACTGATATTTCCAAGAGATGATACGACTGGTAGTTCTTTATACAATGTTTAAATTATTTGAGGTATTGGTTAATGCAACTTTAAACGTTCCTAACTGTCTCATTGGCATCAGTCTAGACTTGCTGACGTCCCAAATCAGCATCCTAGCCCTGTTTTTATGATTTTTTTTTATAATTTTGTCAATTAACATTGGAATTATTTTTATAAAATTAATATCTAGGTTTTCCAGTTGACATTGTTTGACATTTGTATTGATGGCATGATGCGTGTGTTCTTTACTGCCTTCCAGAGTGTTGGAATGTGACAAAAATCTGTCTAAAACCATTTGAATGGTATTTCTAAATTGAATCTCGTACAGAATTTGTTTTTCTTATCGTTTTTAAAATCTATATAGTGGACTGTAAATTTGCATTTCGTGGTACCAGTAAATGTCTGACATTCTCTTGAATATATTACATATGATACAAACTATTTAGTATTTGGTTTATCAACTATAAACTTTCATGTTTTATAATTTGTTGCTGATTATAAAATACAGGAATAATCAAACTACTACAAGTGGATGTAATTATAAGTATAGTGGAAAAGTGTGTGTATATATTTTTAATTATTTGAAAATTGATAGGTTATTTTTTTGATTTAATTTTATAAAAATGTTGATTCATTTTTAATGTAGTATCTACATTGTTTTTATGAAATAATATGTGCAACTAATTATAAATGTCTAAATGAGTTGAGTTTTTTCAAATGTGTATAGAATAGAGCAACTATGTAAAAGTATATCATATCAATCTAATTTTTTTTTTAATATTTGATTATTTCTGTATATAGAAATTCGTTTAATATTTTTATATGTGCTGTTTTAAAAGTTCTGTGATTTTTTGTTTGTTGGTGTTAGTTTTTTATGAATCTCCGTTTAAGAATAATATTTTGTTGATTATACAATTGATACAATTTGGCTATACGATTCAATGCTTAATAGTAGTTTGGTGGAAGTTAAATTCAAAATTAAAAACATTGATATCATCTTTGTTGTAAAATATATAAAAAAAAATGGATTAACAAAATTTGTAGGTTGACTTTTAAAATCACATGACACCAGTTTATTATTTTAGATTACTCTCACTTTTTATATTCTTCTAATTCATGGTTAAGGGTTATTTCGCCGACTCAGTTTCTCAACATCCAAGGTTAGCTCTGGTCAATAGACTTTTCACTATTCCGGCAATCAGTGATGCTGCCAACATTAATTCGACAGTCAATACGCTCCCGTTGTAGGTCCGGAGTGAAGAGACGTGTGGTGAGAGGTAAAAGAGCGAATTAAAGAGGATTTTACGGCGATACAATTTTTTTTATCAATTAATATATGTGTAAACGAAGAAATGCAAGCCGGTGTAAGCACTGTTGTCACATCTAAATAATTAATATACAGGATTTAATAGCGCAGATCGTATAGTTTTTAACTTTCTCAACTTTGCATTTCGTGAAACTGGTTCAATCTTTATGAATTATCTTTTTGTTTTCGTTATTTTCTTTATAAAGTACTCCCCTCCTGATGTTCCGACTATGCCCAAAAAATAGATTAAAGCTTAAATATAAAATTTGGTGTTTTTCGAAATTTGCATTTTGTCTCAAATATCTCGAATACGGGCCATTTTAAGAAAATTATGTATAGAATAAAAATTATTGAGAATAATATTACAAACAACTTTTTTTTTAAGAATTTTTTCTCCAAACGTCAATAACAAATATATTACATAAAATATTAAAATGAGCCCCTATGACCCGACCTGCCCAAAAATTTAATTAATTCACCGTAGGATGGATTAAAGCTTAAATTTAAAATTTGGTGTTTTTTTTTAACCGTTTTTGAGTAATCTAAAAAATTCGAAATTTACACTTTTTCTCAAATACCTCGAATACGGTCCATTTTAGGAAAATTATGTATAGAATAAAAATTATAGAGAATAATATTACAAACAACTTTTATTTGAAGAATTTTTTTCTCCAAACGTCAATAACAAATATATTACATAAAATATAAAAATGACCCCTATAATGTAGCCCCCCAATGTTCTAATTATGCCCAAAATTAATTAGTTTATCGCAGGATGGATTAGAGCTTAATTTTAAAATTTGGTGTTTTCCTCTTTATCCGTTTTTGAGTTAACCTCAAAAATCGAAATTTGCACTTTTTATCAAATTTCTCGAATACGGTCCATTTTAGGAAAATTTTGTATAGAACAAACAATATAGAGAATAATATAACAAACAACTTTTATTTGAAGAATTTTCATCTCCAAACGTAAATAACAAATATATTTCATAAAATATAAAAATGACCCCTATAAAGTAGCCCCCCAATGTTCCGACTATGCTCCAAATTTAATTAGTTTATCGCAGGATGGATTAAAGCTTAAATTTAAAATTTGGTGTTTTCCTCTTTATCCGTTTTTGAGTTAACCTCAAAATTCGAAATTTGCACTTTTTATCAAATTTCTCGAATACGGTCCATTTTAGGAAAATTTTGTATAGAACAAACAATATAGAGAATAATATAACAAACAACTTTTATTTGAAGAATTTTCATCTCCAAACGTAAATAACAAATATATTTCATAAAATATAAAAATGACCCCTATAAAGTAGCCCCCCAATGTTCCGACTATGCTCCAAATTTAATTAGTTTATCGCAGGATGGATTAAAGCTTAAATTTAAAATTTGGTGTTTTCCTCTTTATCCGTTTTTGAGTTAACCTCAAAATTCGAAATTTGCACTTTTTATCAAATTTCTCGAATACGGGCCATTTTTGGAAAATTATAGAGAATAATATTACAAACAACTTTTATTTGAAGAATTTTCTTCTTCAAACGTCAATAACAAATATATTCCATAAAATATAAAAATGACCCTTATAAAGTATCCCCCGGATGTTCCTACTCTGCTCAAAATCTAATCAGTTCACTTTGGGGCGAAATAAAGCTTAAAGTTAAAATTTAATGTTTTTCTCTTTATCCGTTTTTGAGTTATCTTTAAAATTCAAAATTTACACTTTCTCAAATATCTCGAATACGGTCCATTTGAGGAAAATTTTATGTAAGACAAAAATTATAGTGATTTATTGATTTTTACAAAATCATATTCTGAAAAGTCTTATATTTAAAAATAGTAAAACCGATTATGATATTGAATGTTTTGCTGCTTCTTTTAAAGTTTTTTGATCACATAACACTTATGCCATTGCAGGAATGTTAGTACAGTGACGTTACGTCAACGGTTTTTAGTGAATTAAAAATTTCACCGATTGCCCGAATAGTGGAAAGTCTAATGACTCAAGCAAACCTTGGATGTTGAGAAATTAAGCCGGCTTACTTCCCCTATATAACCGCAATGGTTCTGTCTTTATTTAATTTTTCAAATCAGGCTTGTATTATTATTGTGTAGATTTGATTTTCACTAAATTGACTAATAGGAATTGATTAATAGCCATGAATATGAACGAGGAACATTTTTCTTTCGTTTCCGAATGTTATTTTTTATAAAAAACTTCTTGTTAATCTGTAATGTATATTATACAGGGTAGCTTTTTTAAATTAGTTCAAATTATAGTAATATGTTTTATATTAAGTAGAAAATAAGCTGCAGTTATATTTACGCAACTATTATTTTTCTCATACGATTTTATATGTCTAGAACCTCTTAAACAAGCTACACTGTAGAAGTGATTTTATTTAAAGGAACTATTATCATTAATTTATCCAGTTTGATGGAATTATCATTAAAATAATATGCGCAATCATATCACAATCTAAAGACATTCCTTTACTATTATTTATAATCTTTTGTTATTTTAAAACTGTATTCGTAATAGTTGTTCCCACCTCTAATCGTTAGAAATAAAATAGCAGTTATTTTAGTTTGACGACTAGAGGTGGGAACAACTATTATGAATACAGTTATAAAATAACGATCCATAGAATCTTTTAAATATCATGCATCAATAAAAATAAAAAAAAAACATTTGTCATATAAGCTTTAAAATCAAATTTTATTGTACAAATATATTAAGTAAGGTATTAGATCGATAAAATAGTGTAAATAAAAAATGTAAAGTAAGATATGTATTGTTGTACAATAATAAATATTTAGTGATTTGTATGAAGAAATTTAATATTAATAGACTTTTCAGCGATTCTATTCATTCTATAAACCATTCCAATATGGGCGCTGTCCGTTTCTAATTTAAAATTTTTTAGGATCTAAAAGAAAAAACATTTAAGGTAAGATTGGGATTCTAACTATTTAAATATTCACCTCTCTTAGTAGAATAACCATTTCATTTTCGACCAATCTTTTTCCGGGGCACATTCTCGGTCCGTAACCGAAAGGCAGCGATGCGAATTTATGAAATGCCGTATTCGAATTTCTTAACCATCTATCCGGGATATATTGGTCGGCATTTTTAAAATATTCTTCGCTGTGTGACGTTATCGAACTAAAAGCAGACACCAGTGTCTGAAAATTATTACAACTCGATTTTAATAATTATGGACGCAGGAAGAATATCGTGATGTATATATACGTATAAATTTTATGGACGCAGAAAGAATAGCGAGATATATATAAAAATATATATTATGTAACTCGATTTTAATAAGGTTGTTAGTGCATCAATATAATAATTATGGACGCAGGAAGAATAGCGAGATGTATATATACGTATAAATTTTATGGACGCAGAAAGAATAGCGTGATATATATAAAAATATATATTATGTAACTCGATTTTAATAAAGTTGTTAATGCATCAATATAATAATTATGGACGCAGGAAGAATAGCGAGATGTATATATACGTATAAATTTTATGGACGCAGAAAGAATAGCGTGATATATATTATGTAAGGACCGATTCCACCGTTGTGTTAAACGAAGTTTAAAATGACATTTTTACATTAACAATGTCACTTTAATCTCCGTTTAACACAACGGTGGAATCGGCTCTTAGTGTATTTACATTTTTTGGTATTAGATATCCTCCAATTACGGTATCTTGAGGTAGAAATCTGCTGTTAGCACCTGCAGTCGGTCTCAATCTTAATGTCTCTTTTATGCAAGCCTTCAAGTAGCTGTCATCTGAAAGATTTTGTCGTACTTTCTCTTGAACGGATTCATTCTGCGCTAAATAGTGTAACGTGAACGCCATAGTCGTAGCTGTAGTGTCGATGCCTCCTGAAATAAACGTAATTTAGCGAAAACCATTTTTTACAAAAATTGTAGACCTTTAAAAACATTCATACTATGTAGATCCCACTTTAAACGAACGTAGTAGATTATTTCTACGGCACTGGTGTGACAGACTTACCTAAAAAAACTTCAATTGCTAACATATTACAGTCGTCTTGTGATAGATTTTTATTACTTAGCAATGTGTACATAAAAGGATTTGTTTCTTTTAAAAAATTCGGATTAGTCTTGTACATTTTTTGGAAGTCTTTTAGATAACTTTCTATTGTCCTAAAAATATTAAAAATTTTTAATGTACCGTCCTTTCTCCTACACAAGTCGCTCAGTTTCAGTGGTAGAGGAAGCAACGTATATATATATATATATATATATATATATATAAAAGTTGCTTCCTCTATGAATACCTGTAAATAATTTGATGCGAACACTTCAGTTGTTTATAACCATCTGTCTCGAATAATTTCCATATCGGAGGTCCTATAAGAGTTTTATATAACCCATCCATAAAGTCTTTACTAGCGGACTTTAACTGTTCAGCAGGTTCATCGGATATACAACGCAGTCTTTGACCAGGACAAACGAGAGATGTAACTAGAAATGTATGTATTTAATTTAAACGGATTATAGCGTATTTTTCTTAAAAACTATTGAATATGATATTAATGGTGTTTGAATTAGTAATAAAATATTTTTTTTATATAATTCATGAATGAAATAACTGAAAAATTGTTTAAAAAGAAAACAGAAACGTCGAACGATGGTTAGCCTTCTGAAAACAATTACTCCTTTGGCTAATACCGCAACAAGCATTGAGTTATATCAAAAGAAAAGCAGTAGGAACGGAATATTATTTTCATAAATAAATGCCTTTGATAATTGTCAGTATAGTTGTTATTTTGCTTATTACGTATAGGTGGCGTTATTTTATAACTAATAAGAGAAACTTTTAACACATTTGCAAATTTTATTAAAGAATGTTTATTGTTTGCTAATAAGTTCTGATAAGGACAAAACATTTATGTTACACGATCTTTGATTTTTTGAAATTTCCATTATTTTTTATTCTTTTGAGTGTTCATTTCCATTCATAAATCTCAATTGTAAACAATATCAGACTATACTGAAGTACATTGACATTTTTAATATAGAAAACAATTGAATGTATCATTTCAAAAACAACGAAGTCAAAAAAATAGTTTTCTACAAAATTTTATTTGAAAAATTCGAATTTTGCACTTTTTATCAAATTTCTCGAATACGGTCCATTTTAGGAAAATTTTATATAAAATAAAAATTATAGAGAATAATATTACAAACAACTTTTATTTGAAGAATTTTCTTTTTTAAGCGTAAATAACAAATATATTTTATAAAATATAAAACTGACTGACTGATAAAGTATTCCCCAGATGATCCGACTCTGCCCAAAATTTAATCAGTTCACCGCAGGATGGATTAAAGATTAAATTTAAAATTTGGTGTTTTTCTCTTTAACCTTTTTTGAGTAATTTTCGAAATTTGAACTTTTTCAAATATCTCGAATACGGTCTATTTTAGGAAAATTATGTATAGGACAAAAATTATAGAGAATAATATTACAAACAACTTTTATTTGAAGAATTTTCTTTTTTTAGCGTAAATAACAAATATATTCTATAAAATATTAAAATGTCCTCGTATAAAGTACCTCCCCAGATGATCCGACTTTGCCCAAAATTTAATCAGTTCACCGCAGGATGGATTAAGGCTTAAATTTAAAATTTGGTGTTTTTTTCTGTAACCATTTTTGAGTAATCTTCAAAATTCGAAATTTACACTTATTCTCAAATATCTCGAATACGGTCTATTTTAAGAAAATTATGTATAGGATAAAAATTATAGAGAATAATATTAAACACAACTTTTATTTGAAGAATTTTCTTCTTCAAGCGTAAATAACAAATATCTTTTATAAAATATAAAAATTACCCCCTATAAAGTACTCCCCAGATGATCCGACTTTGCCCAAACTTTAATCTGTTCACCGCAGGATGGATTGAAGCTTAAATTTAAAATTTGGTGTTTTTCTCTTTAACCGTTTTTGAGTAATCTTCAAAATTCGAAATTTAACCTTTTTTTGAAATATTTCGAATACGGTCCATTTTAGGAAAATTTTGTATAGAACAAAAATTATAGAGAATAATATTACAAACAACTTTTATTTGAAGAATTTTCTTTTTTAAGCATAAATAACAAATATATTCTATAAAAATGACCTCCTATAAAGTACCTCCCCAGATGATCCGACTTTGCCCAAAATTTAATCAGTTCACCGCAGGATGGATTAAGGCTTAAATTTAAAATTTGGTGTTTTTTTCTGTAACCATTTTTGAGTAATCTTCAAAATTCGAAATTTAACCTTTTTTTGAAATATTTCGAATACGGTCCATTTTAGGAAAATTTTGTATAGAACAAAAATTATAGAGAATAATATTACAAACAACTTTTATTTGAAGAATTTTCTTTTTTAAGCATAAATAACAAATATATTCTATAAAATATAAAAATGACCTCCTATAAAGTACCTCCCCAGATGATCCGACTTTGCTCAAAATTTAATCAGTTCACCGCAGGATGGATTAAGGCTTAAATTTAAAATTTGGTGTTTTTTCTGTAACCATTTTTGAGTAATCTTCAAAATTCGAAATTTACACTTATTCTCAAATATCTCGAATACGGTCCATTTTAAGAAAATTGTGTATAGGACAAAAATTATAGAGAATAATATTATACACAACTTTTATTTGAAGAATTTTCTTCTTCAAGCGTAAATAAATATCTTTTATAAAATATAAAAATTACCCCCTATAAAGTACTCCCCAGATGAACCGACTTTGCCCAAACTTTAATCTGTTCACCGCAGGATGGATTGAAGCTTAAATTTAAAATTTGGTGTTTTTCTCTTTAACCGTTTTTGAGTAATCTTCAAAATTCGAAATTTAACCTTTTTTTGAAATATTTCGAATACGGTCCATTTTAGGAAAATTTTGTATAGAACAAAAATTATAGAGAATAATATTACAAACAACTTTTATTTGAAGAATTTTCTTTTTTAAGCATAAATAACAAATATATTCTATAAAATATAAAAATGACCTCCTATAAAGTACCTCCCCAGATGATCCGACTTTGCCCAAAATTTAATCAGTTCACCGCAGGATGGATTAAGGCTTAAATTTAAAATTTGGTGTTTTTTTCTGTAACCATTTTTGAGTAATCTTCAAAATTCGAAATTTACACTTTTTCTTAAATATCTCGAATACGGTCCATTTTAGGAAAATTATGTATAGAATAAAAATTATAGAGAATAATATTACAAACAACTTTTATTTGAAGAATTTTCTTCTTCAAGCGTAAATAACAAATATATTTTATAAAATTACGAAATTACCCCCTATAAAGTACTCCCTAGATGATCCGACTCTGCCCAAAATTTAATCAATTCACCGCAGGATGAATTAAAGCTTAAATTTAAAATTTGATATTTTTCTCTTTATCAGTTTTTGAGTTAACCTCAAAATTCGAATTTATCACTTTTTTTCAAATATCTCTAATACGGTCCATTTTAGAGAAATCATGTATAGAATAAAATTATAGAGATTGTCATTACAAACAACTTTTATTCAAACAATTTTCTTAAAAATTCAAATTTTTCACTTTTTATCAAATTTCTCGAGTACGGACCATTTTAGGAAAATTATCTATATAACAAAAATTTTAGCTAATAATATTACAAGCAACTTTTATTTGAAGAATTTTTTTCTCCGAGCTTAAATAACAAATATATTATATAAAGTAGAAAAACGACACCCCAGATGTTCAGACTATTCCCAAAATCGAATGCAAAAATTTTACTAATAGCTAATTTTGCCAAATGTTGAGTTATGCGATTTTTTAAATGATCCATTCAATGATACTTTTATTTCATGTCATTATTAGCAACCTATTAAGGGGTACTATAAAAAAAAAGTATTAATAGTATGTTTAAATTATTATAAACAAAATATATTAGCCATCCTACTATCTAGAAATTTATTACCACCAACAAACAATAATTTACCTGCTACCAAATATAATACAAAATTGTACCTATACCTTCAATTGCAAAATTCATCAAATGCTCAACTGTATCATACAAAATATAATTATCATCAACTGCATTTCTGAGGTAATTCACAAAACTTCTCGATACATCCTCTTGTTGTTCTCTATAAACATTTATTAAACTAGTTTTGAGCAATGGATTTACACCTCCTCTAAATCTGTACCATTCCTCCCCATTGCCGGGAACTACCCCTACACTATTAAAAGTTTTCTTTCTGTAATGATACAATGCCGGAAATGGAGGTCGTATCGGTCTGATACCCTCGTTACGAAATAACGTTTCAGTATGATCTGCATTAGTAGTTACAACAATGTCAGTGTTGCCTAGTTTTAATCGAACAATTGGACCGTATTTTGTACTTATATCTTTTATAGCCTCGGTCAATTTTTCGGACTTATATTTTCCTAAAATAATGATAATCTATGATAACACTCATTTTTTTTAGGAAAAATATTATTTACATATAGGTACATTAAAAGGTATAGTTCCCTGAGGAACTCTATTTTTATGGGTAAATACATCCATGTACTATAAATATAAGTTTCCCGAACCGCTATAGCTCCAAGAGGCGAATTAAACTCAAAAACGTCATACTATAAAATTGTTTACTTTCGCATGGAATATAAACATCTCCTCTATAAATTCTATACATTGTTTTGGGTGCTTTAATAGTTTTATTAAACGCAAAATAGAAAAATAAGCACGAGTTGTAAGTAAAAAATCACAATTATTTAGAAACTAGAAAACATTAATTAAATCAATGAAAAAAAACGTTACCTCCTGGTAAAAATAGATAAGTATGTCCAAGTAATGGTAATGACATAGGACTTGGGATATCTAGGAATGATTTAATTGAATTTAACATTTTATTTCGTGTTTTTTAAATTTTTTACGTGTATAATTCGAATTTGAATCATTTAGGTTATGTTCTTCTCTTCTTCTTCTTCTTTTTTTTTGTATCTGCCCTCGTTCATAGCGCACAATTGGCACTTCAATAGAACTTTCATTTTTCATAAATATTGAGGCTAGTACCCGAGTGTAGTTTATTTTATTACAAATTTCTATAATATAAAATTATATAGTAATAAATCTTCGTTTACAAACAATAATAATTACAAATTACATTTAACTTGTTTGCAAACGACCTTCTTTGAGCAATCTATAATTATATATATCATTGACTCTGTCGATGATAACAGGGTTGCCATATCTACTTGTCTGCAGTTTGATAGGTCATTGGAATGCCCATGTCAAAACCCACTGGGGACCTATTTTCAAACCGTGTGAGTACTCATTTCTCTCAAGATTCTCATCAGAAATGTCATACGTCAATGTGGAAACGCTGTTTTTAAAGGCCTCGAGGATTAAAATTCTTAGGAGGATATTAATTATCTCTAAATAAACCGTGAGAAACAATCAGTGAGTTTACACTGGCCTGGGGGGCTATTTTCAAACTCGAGAGAATTCATTTCCATCAAGAGAAATGTCATACGTCAACGTAAAACAGTATTTTTAGGGCTCTTAAGGCCAGTGTGAACTCACTGACTGTTTCTCTCGGTTTATTTAGAGATAATTAAAATTCTCCTAAGAATTTTAATCCTCGATTCCTTTAAATACAGCGTTTCCACATTGACGTATGACATTTCTGATGAGAATCTTGAGAGAAATGAGTGCTCACATACTTTGAAAATACCTAGGTCCCCGTAGTCATTATGTGTAGACGTCCCGTTTTGTTTTTGATTTATATTTCTCCGTTTTTATTTAAAATCAAAGAAACCCGGTTAGTTTCATCCAAAAGTAACCAGTCACGTTACACATGTCATCGCGAAAATACGCCTAGGTCAGCTGTTTGATGTTTGACGTTTGGCGGCCATCTTTCATTTGCCTTCTCCTACTTACTTCGTAGCTGTCTATTTGATAGAAATAATTGTCATTTGTGAAAAATAGTTTGGCTGAAAAGAATCGACTTTAATTTCTGGCCATCGTTAAATATTAAGTTTCATCCAAGATGACGACGGGAATGCCGGAGTTGGGCTCCAAAATAAGTCTAATATCGAAGGCAGATATTCGCTATGAAGGACGATTATTTACAGTTGATCCCCAAGAATGTACAATAGCCTTGGCGTCCGGTAAGTTTTTTTTTTTTTTAGTTAAACTTTTTCGATCAAATTAATTTATTATTTAAAAAAGGTATTTAAATTTGTATAAATCGTATTATTAGATATAAAAAATGGGATTGATTCTGAAAAAAGTTTGAGATTCCTTCGTTTTAAAATGTATTTTACAGATGCCAGAATTGTTTAACTGTGAAATTGATACACAAAGTTTTGTTAATATTCTTCTTAAAGTTGTTTTCATAATTTAATTTGCTTAAAAATTAAAATTGTGGGCAATGTAGTTAAAAAAAAAAAGTTGTTGTTTAAGTTTTTTGTTCCCACTTTTTCTTATCTTTTTTTTTTGCAATAATAATCGATATGTCTTATCTTTTTAAACTAAATAAACTCATATTTATAAAGTGATTTTTTTGTTAAAAAGAATGTGAATAAAATATAATTTTGTTTAAACCTTCCAAAAGTATTTTTTATTCTGAAAAGTTAAAAGGAAAATGGATGTCTTTTTCTTAAATTTGTAGAATTTGTAGAAGCTTTATCGCTACACAAATTTAAATTGTGTAGGTATTATTCCTAGTCTTTATGAATATAATTTTATATTAGTTAATTTTTAAAATATTTTTGCATTTGCAAGAGGTCGGGATGGGTGTTATTGTTATTAATGAAATAATTAAAAAAATATATTTAAATGCACTTCTATTTCCATATTTATTTTAACAATATTGTCACTCAAACATACTGAAAGGTCTAGAATGTAGTTGAAAGGTCTGGAAATGTAAATGTGCCTGTTCCGGCTAGTTCTGACAGTAGGAATAGTTACATATAGTTACCAGGTTATAGTTAATTATTTGGAACCAGGGAATAAGCATATTGAAATAACTATTTTACTTTTAATCATCTATTTACCAATTTTTAGATCGATTAAAAATCCCATAAAAATAAAAAAATGTTTTTAAGATTTTCAAGTAATACAATTCATTATTTTTAATGTCAATACTACCTTTCAATAATGATATTACAAAATTCAAATTTGTATCAAATTTCAAATTGAGTGGTGTAAATATGCACATTTCTAGACCCTTCAACTACAAGATTACCCTGAACCAATTGCCCTAAAATCTGTTACAATTCCTAAATCTTTTGAATACACATGGCTAAGGGCCATGTGTTGTTACATTTATTTCTTGGGCACAAACAGTATGGTGTTTCAAATTAATTGTGTTTTATGGTTGATTGGTGGTTGACCCATTTATTATGGTGTCACACTGGTGATAAATATGTCACTAAATAATATAGATGTTAACACTTGTTAAAAAATATTTAAAAATTGTTAAAAAATGTTTAAAAATTGTTAAAAATTACTAAAAATTAATAAAAATTGATAAAAATTAGTAAAAGTTAATAAAAATTAATAAAAAATCAATAAAAATTAATAAAAGTCAATAAAAATTAATAAAAAATGGTTAAAAATGGTTAAAAATTGTTAAAAAATGTTAAAAATGTTTCAAAATTGTTTAAAAATTGGTAAAATTTAGTAAAAGTTAATAAAAAGTCAATAAAAATTAATTAAAATTATTCAAAATGGTTAAATATTGTTAAATAATGTTTAAAAATTGTTAAAAAATGTTAAATATTAAAAATGTTTAAAAATTGTTTAAAAATTAATAAAAATTGGTAAAAATTAGTAAAAGTTAATAAAAGTCAATAAAAATTAATAAAAAATGTTAAATAATGTTAAAAATGGTTAAATTTTTTTTTAAAAATGTTAAAAATCAATAAAAATTAATTAAAATTAATAAAAAATGTTAAATAATTTTAAAATTGTTTAAAAATTGGTAAAAATTAGTAAAAATTAGTAAAAATTAGTAAAAATTAGTAAAAATTAGTAAAAATTAGTAAAAATTGTTAAAAAATGTTTAAAAAAATGTTAAATAATATTAAATAATGTTAAAAATGTTTAAAAATTGTTAAAAAAAAATTAAAAGAAATGTTAAAAAAATGTTTAATAATGTTAAAAATGTTTTAAAATTCGTAAAAATTAGTAAAAGTTAATAAAAAATCAATAAAATAATTAAAATTGTTAAAAATTAATAAAAAATGTTAAAAATGGTTAAAAAAAATTTAAAAAATGTTAAAAATCAATAAAAATTAATTAAAATTAATAAAAATTGTTAAAAACTGTTAAATAATGTTAAAAATGTTTCAAAATTGTTAAAAATTAGTAAAAATTAATAAAAATTGGTAAAAATTAGTAAAAGTTAATAAAAATTAATAAGTCAATAAAAATTAATAAAAAATGTTAAAAATGGTTAAAAAAAAATTTTAAAAATGTTAAAAATCAATAAAAATTAATTAAAATTAATAAAAATTGTTAAATAATGTTAAAAATGTTTCAAAATTGTTAAAAATTGGTAAAAGTTAATAAAAAATCAATAAAAATTAATTAAAATTATTAAAAATTGTTAAAAAATGTTAAATAATGTAAAAATTGTTAAAAAAATGTTTAAAAATTGGCAAAAATTAGTAAAAGTTAATAAAAATTGTTAAAAAATGTTTAAATAATATTAAATAATGTTAAATAATGTTAAAAATGTTTAAAAATTGGTAAAAATTAATAAAAAATGTTAAATAATTTTAAATAATTTTAAATAATGTTAAATAATGTTAAATAATATTAAATAATGTTAAAAATGTTTAAAAATTGTTAAAAATTGGTAAAAATTAATAAAAATTGTTAAAAAAATGTTTAATAATGTTAAAAATGTTTTAAAATTGTTAAAAATTGTTTAAAATTAATAAAAATTGGTAAAAATTAGTAAAAGTTAATAAAAAATCAATAAAATAATTAAAATTGTTAAAAAATGTTAAAAAATGTTAAATATTGTTAAAAATTGTTAAAAAAATGTTTAAAAATTGTTAAAAATTAATAAAAATTGGTAAAAATTAATAAAAGTCAATAAATATTAATAAAAAATGTTAAAAATGGTTAAAAAAAAATTTAAAAACTGTTAAATAATGTTAAAAATGTTTCAAAATTGTTTAAAAATTGTTTAAAAATTGTTTAAAAATTGTTAAAAAATTGTTAAAAATTAGTAAAAATTAATAAAAATTAATAAAAATTGGTAAAAATTAGTAAAAGTTAATAAAAATTAATAAGTCAATAAAAATTAATAAAAAATGTTAAAAATGGTTAAAAAAAAATTTTAAAAATATTAAAAATCAATAAAAGTTAATTAAAATTAATAAAAATTGTTAAAAAATGTTAAATAATGTTAAAAATGTTTCAAAATTGTTAAAAATTGGTAAAAGTTAATAAAAAATCAATAAAAATTAATTAAAATTATTAAAAATTGTTAAAAAATGTTAAATAATGTAAAAATTGTTAAAAAAATGTTTAAAAATTAGCAAAAATTAGTAAAAGTTAATAAAAATTGTTAAAAAATGTTTAAAAAATGTTAAATAATATTAAATAATGTTAAATAATATTAAATAATGTTAAAAAATTTTAAAAATTGGTAAAAATTAATAAAAATTGTTAAAAAAAATGTTAAATAATGTTAAATAATGTTAAATAATGTTAAATAATATTAAATAATGTTAAAAATGTTTAAAAATTGGTAAAAATTAATAAAAATTGTTAAAAAAAAAAAAAAAATGTTAAAAAAATGTTTAATAATGTTAAAAATGTTTTAAAATTGTTAAAAATTGTTTAAAAATTGTTTAAAATTAATAAAAATTGGTAAAAATGGGTAAAAGTTAATAAAAATCAATAAAAATTATTAAAAAATGTTAAATAATGTTAAAAATTAATAAAAATGTTTCAAAATTGTTAAAAAAAAGTTTCAAAATTGTTATAAATTGGTAAAAATTAGTAAAAGTTAATAAAAAATGTTTTAAAAATGTTAAAAATGTTTAAAAATTGTTAAAAAAAATGTTTAATAATGTTAAAAATTGTTAAAAAATGTTTAAAAATTGTTAAAAATTAATAAAAATTGGTAAAAATGGGTAAAAGTTAATGAAAATCAATAAAAATTAATTAAAATTAATAAAAATTGGTAAAAATTAGTAAAAGTTGATAAAAAATCAATAAAAATTAATAAAAAATCAATAAAAATCAATAAAAATTAATTGAAATTAATAAAAATTATTTAAAAATGGTTAAAAATTAATAAAAATTGGTAAAAGTTAATAAAAATTGGTAAAAGTTAATAAAAATTAGTAAAAATTAATAAAATAAAATAAACTATTCATAAAGTGTTTTTGTGTTAAGATGTGTGAATAAAATATAATTTTGTTGAAACCTTCTAAAAGTATTTATTCTGAAAAGTTAAAAGCAAAATGGATGTTTTTTTCTTAAATTTGTAGAGTTTGTAGAAGCTTTATCATTGCATAAATTTAAATGGTTTCATCCTATTACCCTGAGGTGGTAATTTCGAAGTTTTAGCACTAGTATATTGAAGTAACTTAGTTTTTATAATGTTTTAACTGAAATTACATTTGTAAAATTATATTTTACTTGTTATTTTCATTTATATTATAATAAAATGAGTTTTTTTGTGTTTTAACCTAAGTTTTAGAATCATTTTGCTGTTCCATTCACAAAACATAAATCAAATTAATTCATTAAATTGTCAATTGACGGTCCTTGAGTTTGCAACGTTGCCAAACACTTGTCTCCAGGCTGCATAGGTTAGGTAAATTAGTTATTATTTGTTTAATTTTTCTTATTTTATGTATATTTATTTGGAAAGCAACCCACGATGTCTCCAGGCCGCTCAGGCTAGGTAAATAAGGACCGATTTCACCGTTGTTTAAAATGACATTTTTACATTAACAATGTCATTTTAATCTCCGTTTAACACAACGGTGGAATTGACCCTTAGTCAATATTTTTATTTTTTTATTTTATGTAAATTTTTTGGGAAGCAACCCAAGATGTCTCTAGGCCGTATAGGTTAGGTAAATTAGTTAAAATTTGTTTAATTTTTTTCATTTTATGCATATTTTTTGCGAAGCAACCCGTGGTGACACCAGGCCACACAGGTTAGGTAAATTAGTTAATATTTGTTTAATTTTTCTTATTTTATGTATATTTTTTGAGAGTAACCCGTGGTGATTCCAGATCGCACAGGTTAGGTAAATTAGTTAATATCTATTTGTTTAATTTTTATTAATTTCTATTAATATTTATTAATTTTTGTTAATTTTTAATAATTTCTGTTAATTTTTATTAATTCTTTAATAAATTCTATTAATTTTTAAAAAAATTTTTAATTATTTTAACTATTTATTTTTATTTATTTATTTTATTTTTATTTATTTTTTTAGTTTTATTTAGTTTTATTTATTTTTATTCATTTTTATACATATTTTTTTAGTCACTATTAATTTTTAATAATTTTTATTAATTTTTAATAATTTTTGATAATTTTTAATAATTTTTATTAATGTGTAATAATTTTTATTTATTTTTATTAATGTTTAATAATTTTTATTTATTTTTAATATTTTTATTAATTTTTATTTATTTTTAATAATTTTTATTAATATTTATTACTTTTTATTATTTTTATTAATTTTTATTAATATTTATTATTTTTAATAATTTTTATTAATTTTTATTAGTTTTTATTAATTTTCCCCCCTTAAAATGTGAAAATCCAAAAACCATGAAACACATTTTTGATTTTTAGTCAGTAGCTGTAATTCAAATTTTTATATTTCAAACTTTAAATAACAAAAAATATATACATACTAATTAACAAATTTTCACCCCCTCTTTTCCCCCTTAAAATGTTGAAATGCAACCTACAATTCTAATTTTCAAGTTTCTACCTTTTAAAAATCGATATTTCCAAATAAACTTTCACCCCCCCCCCCGTTTCCCCCCTTGAAATGTGAAAATCCAAAAACCCTGAAACACGTCATTAATAATTTGTACTCATTAGCTGCAATTCCAATTTTCTTGTTTCTAACTTCAAAGAGAACAAAAAAAAATATACTCCCATACAAACTTTTACCCCCCGTTTGCCCCCTTCAAAAGGTAAAAATATAAAAACTCTAAAACACATTATTATTAATTTGTACTTAGTAGCTGCAATTCCAATTTTTATTTTTTTAATTTTAAAGAGAACCAAAAACATAGATACTCCCAAATAAATTTTCAACCCCCCATTTCCTCCCTTAAAATGTGAAATTCAAAAACCTTGAAATACGTCATTAATAATTTGTAGTCAGTAGCTGCAATTCCAATTTTCATGTTTCTAATTTCATAGAGAACAAAAAAATCGATAGTCTCATACAAACTTTAACCCCCCATTCCCCCCCCCTTAAAATGGGAAAATCCAAAAACCCTGAAACACGTCATTATTTATTTTTGCTTAATAGCTGTAATTTAAATTTTCATGTTTCTAATTTTAAAGAATAAAGAGTTTTATTAAAAGCTCCCTCCCCTCATTTCTTCCCATTTCCCCCCTTTAAAGTTAAAATTTCCAAAAATCCTTTCTTAGCGGATGCTTACGTTATAAAATAAACCTATGTTCCAAATTTCAGCTTTCTAGGCTCAGTAGTTTTGGCTGTACGCTGATAGGTCAGTCAGTCAGGACAAACAATTTTATATATATATATATATATATATATACATCACGCTATTCTTTCTGCGTCCATGAAACTGACAATTTCATTAACAACTTGGCAACATTGTAATTTTCGAATCTGTCATCTAGAGTAACTGTTTTGTGAATATAACCTGTAAAATTGAGGTTTTTAATTAAATTTTTCTTGAAAAATACTGTTTTTTTCAGATTTTTTTTTTTATGAAAAATTTACTATAGAAACTAGTTACTTTTGCGTGTGTAATTTTTTTGCAAAATTCGCACCTCAGGGTTCCTCGACGGACCTAATTTAAATTGTGTAGGTACTATTCCTAGTCTCCTGTATGAATATAATTTTATATTAGTTAATTTTTAAAATATTTTTGCGAGAGGTCCATTGCGCTCTTAATAAAACATTTAAAACGATTCCAGTTCGATCATTTGGAACAGAAGATAGGGAAACTCAGTACCCTGTGCCAGCTCAGAATCAAGTATATGACTACATCCTATTCAGAGGTTCAGACATCAAGGACATTAGAGTGATCAATAACGTCGCTCATCCACAACCACTCAATGATCCAGCTATCATGCAACTGTCTGTTCCTCCTTCATTGACAGCCCAATCGTATCAAACACATCCAGTTTTGGGTCCCATGGGTCCGCAAATGGGACAGTTTGCCGGCGCTTATAGTAGTATTGGTAATTTGGGAGCACTCAGTACCGGAGGGATAGGGGCGTCGCTTGGTATGCCGCGAGACAATAGGAATTTGAACAATTCGAAACCAAGTGAGTTGCTTTTGGGGAATAGTACTCAGTCTACAGTTAAACCCCCGATTCTTTCTCCTGCTAGCATTGAACAACCTCAACCAGTGATCAATCATGGTAACATTTTTTTATTTTTTTGAATTGTAGCTTGCTTTTTGCTTAGTAGCTTCTGCTGTAAATGTAGAGTAGGTAATTTTGTAGTAACTTCTATTTTTTCTATTCTTAGATCTGTTTGAAGAGCTTGGGATTGCTTCAATTATATTTGCTAACAGTCTGCCAGTTTATTTTTTCATTTATTTATAATAGTTTCTTACTAGAAATCACAGTTTTGTAGCTTCCGTTTTAGATCTTATTGGCGGTTCGCGAAGCACCACCCCAGCAAGTTTGGGATCTAGAAAATCGCCGACCAACGATCAAGGCGTTCAAGCCGGTGGATCTGCTCACCATGAAAAGAAAGTTGTCAAACCGATTCAGCCTCCCAATCAACGAAATCAGCAGAGAAGACGGTCTAAAGAAAGAAGAGATTCTAGAGGAGACAATCAGGTAAGCATAGCAGAAATTTTTTTTTTTTTTTTTTTTTTTTTTTTTTTTTTTTTTTTTTTTTTTTTTTATTTTTTTTTTTTTTAATTTATTTATTTTTTTTTTTTTTTTATTTTTTTTTTTTTAATTTATTTATTTTTTTTTTTTTTATTATTTTTTTTTTTTTTAATTTTTTTTTTTTAATTTTTTTTATTTTTTATTTTTTTTATTTTTTTTTTTATTTTTTTTTTTTTTTTTTTTAGCAACAAAACAGAACTGGACCAAGGCCTCCGATTGGTGTACAACACTACCAGCATCAAGGTTCCTACTCAAATCAATACCATCATCAGCACCATGGTCAGCAGCAGGGTTTCCAATACCACGGTCAGCAAGGTTTTCAGCAGCATCAAGGCTACCAGCAACATTATCAAAATCATAGTACTCCCAGATCCAATTGGGTGAACAGAGGCCTAACGAGACCGAGGGCAAGATCAAGGGGTAATGGATTCAGGAACAACGCCCCGCTTGGAAACAGACCTAGGAATACATTGAAGTTTGAAAATGATTATGATTTCGAGCAGGCGAATACGGAGTTCGAGGAACTTAGGAGCCAATTAGGAAAGGTAAGATGAATTTTGTTTTGTAGTAATTTTGTTTTGATCAATGAGATGTTTTGTTAAATGTGTTTTTGGAATTTTGGCAGTTTGATTATTGTTGATATTTTATTATTTAATTTTAAATCACAAATGGAAATATTAAAATTACTACTACTATATAAATAATGTATGAAGTATCTTAAAAATAAATAAAAACTCATAAAAGTTAATAAAAATTTAACTAATAAATATTAAACCAATAAAAATTTATTAAAATTAATAAAAATTGTTTAAAATCAATAGAAATCAATAACAATTTGTTAAAGTTAATAAAAATTAATTAAAATTAATAGAAATTTACTAAAATTAATAAAAATTACTTGAAATCAATTAAAATTAATAAAAAAATTAATAAAAATTAATTATAATTAATAAAAACTAATAAAAATTGTCAAAAATGTTAAAAATTGTTAAAATATATTAAATAATGTTAAAAAAAAATGTTTAAAAATGTTTAAAAATGTTTAGAAATTGTTAAAAATTAGTAAAAGTTAATAAAAATTAATAGAAATTAAAAACAATTTATTAAAGTTAATAAAAATTACTTGAAGTCAATTAAAATTAATAAAAAAAATCAACAAAAATTATTAAAAAATCAATAAAAATCAAAAAATCAATAAAAATTATTAAAAATTGTTAAAAAATTGTTAAATAATGTTAAAAAATGTTAAATAATGTTAAAAATTAATAAAAATTGTTAAAAATAATATAAAAATGGTTAAAAATTAGTAACAATTAGTAACAATTAATAACAATTTATTAAAGTTAATAAAAATTAATTGAAATTAATAAAAATTAATAAAAATTGTTAAAATTGATTAAAAATTAGTGAAAATAAGTAAAAATTAATAGAAATTTACTAAAATTAATAAGAATTACTAAAAATTGTTAAAAATTAGTAAAAAGTAATTACAATTTATTAAAGTTAATAAAAATTAATTGAAGTTAATAAAAATCAATTGAAATTAATAAAAATCAATTGAAATTAATAAAAATTAATAAAAATTAATAAAAATTAATAAAAATTAGTAAAAATTAGTAAAAAAAAAAATTAAAATTGATTAAAAATTAGTGAAAATGAGTAAAAATTAATAAAAATTATTTGAAATCAATTAAAATTAATAAAAATCAATTAAAATTAATAAAAATCAATAAAAATTAATAAAAATTTTTAAATAATGTTTAATAATGTTTAATAATGTTAAAAAATGTTTAAAAATGTTTAAAAATTATTAAAAATGTTAAAAATTGTTAAAAAGTAATAACAATTTATTAAAGTTAATAAAAATTAATTGAAATTAATAAAAATTGATAAAAATTAGTGAAAGTTTATAAAAATGAATAAAAATTGTTAAAAATTGTTAAAAATTGTTAAAAAATAATATAAAAATGGTTAAAAATTGTTAAAAAATTAGTAACAATTAATAACAATTTATTAAAGTTAATAAAAATTAATTGAAATTAATAAAAATTGATTAAAAATTAGTGAAAATGAGTAAAAATTAATAGAAATTTACTAAAATTAATAAAAATTATTTGAAATCAATTAAAAATTAATAAAAATTAATAAGAATTACTAAAAATTGTTAAATAATGTTTAATAATGTTAAAAAATGTTAAAAAATGTTTAAAAATGCTTAAAAATTGTTAAAAATTAGTAAAAAGTAATTACAATTAATTGAAGTTAATAAAAATCAATTGAAATTAATAAAAATTAGTAAAAAAAATTTAAAATTGATTAAAAATTAGTGAAAATGAGTAAAAATTAATAAAAATTATTTGAAATCAATTAAAATTAATAAAAATCAATAAAAATTGTTAAATAATGTTTAATAATGTTTAATAATGTTAAAAAATGTTTAAAAATTAGTAAAAATTGTTAAAAATTGATTAAAAATTAGTGAAAATGAGTAAAAATTAATAGAAATTTACTAAAATTAATAAAAATTATTTGAAATCAATTAAAAATTAATAAAAATCAATAAAAATTAATAAGAAATACTAAAAATTGTTAAAAATTGTTAAATAATGTTTAATAATGTTAAAAAATGTTAAAAAATGTTTAAAAATGCTTAAAAATTGTTAAAAATTAGTAAAAAGTAATTACAATTTATTAAAGTTAAAGTTAATAAAAATCAATTGAAATTAATAAAAATTAATAAAAATTAGTGAAAATGAGTAAAAATTAATAAAAATTATTTGAAATCAATTGAAATTAATAAAAATCAATAAAAATTAATTTAAAATTGTTAAATAATGTTTAATAATGTTAAAAAATGTTTAAAAATTATTAAAAATGTTAAAAATTGTTAAAAAGTAATAACAATTTATTAAAGTTAATAAAAATTAATTGAAATTAATAAAAATTGATAAAAATTAGTGAACGTTTATAAAAATGAATAAAAATTAGTAAAAATCAATAAAAATTGTTAAAAATTGATTAAAAATTAGTGAAAATGAGTAAAAATTAATAGAAATTTATTAAAAATAATAAAAATTACTTGAAATCAATTAAAATTAATAAAAATTGTTAAAATAATGTTTAAACATGTTTAAAAATGTTTAAAAAGTGTTAAAAATTAGTAAAAATTAATAACAATTTATTAAAGTTAATAAAAATTAATTGAAATTAATAAAAATTGGTAAAAATTAGTAAAAATTAATATTAACACCAAATAGAATATTTATGGTAAAATAAAAATTGTAGAGAATATTATAAACAATTTTTATTTGAACAATTTTCTAAAAAAAAAAAAAAAAATAATGTTTGCCCTTTTTGTCAAATTTCTTGAATACGGACCATTTTAGGAAAATTTTGTATAGGGTAAAAATTATAGGGAATAATATTACAAGTAACTTTTATTTGAAGATTTTTTGTTTTTCAAGCGTAAATAACAGTTATATTTTATAAAATATAAAAACAACCCCTTATAAAGTACCCCCAGATGTTTCAACTATGTCCAAAATTTAATCATTTCTCTGCAGGATGGATTTAAGCTTAAATTTAAAATTTGGTATTTTTCTTTTTACCAGTTTTTGAGTTATATGCAAAATTATATATTTGCACTTTTTCTTAAATATCTAACCTAATCAAAGGTGTATTTCCCTATGAAAAAAAAATACAAAGTGGGAATATCTAATTTGAATATATTGTTGTATTTTTTTCATAGGGAAATACACCTTTGGTTAGGTTAGATACATCTAAATAAGACTTATTTAGATCTATCTAACCTAACCAAAGGTGTATTTCCCTATGAAAAAAATACAACAATATATTCAAATATAACAATATATTCAAATATATAAGAAAAGTATAGGAATCATGATTTTTTTTCGACCTCTAGTTTTCGACGGATTTTTACGGTTTGGGGTCTCCTGAATCCGTTTTGACTATTTTCGCGATGATGTCTGTGTGTCTGTATCTACCATAACTCATGAACCGATACAAAGAAAAATACCAAATTTTAAACTTAAGCTTTATTCTAGCATCCAATGAACTGATTAGATTTTGGACAGAGTCGGAACATCTGGGGGGATACTTTATAGGCGGTCATTTTTATATTTTATGGAATATATCTGTTATTTACGTGTGGAGAAGAAAATTCATCAAATAAAAGTTACTTCTAATATAATTATCTATAATTTTTGTTCTATACAAAATTTTCCTAAAATGATCCGTATTCGAGAAATTTGACAAAATGTATAAAAATTGTTCAAATAAAAGTTGTTCGTAATATAATTCTTTATAAATTTTATCCCATGCATAATTTTTTTAAAATGGACCGTATTCGAGATATTTGAGATTTATAGGAGGTTGTTTTTATATTTTTTGAAATATATCTATTATTTATGTTTGGATACAAAATTTCTTCAAATAAAAGTCACTTGTAATACTATTTTCTATAATTTTTGTTATATACATATTTTTCCTAAAATGGTCCGTATTCGAGGAATTTAACAAAAAGTACAACATTCGAATTTTAAAGAAAATTTTCGAATCTTTTTCTTTTTAGTAGAGGATTTGAACACGATCCACAATTCGAATCTATTTTTTGAAAATTCATTCTAGCTCCGATTCTTAAACTACTAATTAAACATAACTTGTCTATGGGGTGTTCAAGTTAAAGTGTTAAAATTAAATACAGTAGAAAATAAGCATTTTATAAAAAAAAAATTATAGTTTTTTGTGGAAAATATTTTGGCTAAATTCATTTTTTTTTATAGCTGGCCATATCAAGGTGGAATTTTTTTTTTTTTTTTTTTTTTTTTTCATTTTGGAACTATTTTCTTACATATTCTTAAAATTTGTAAAAAAAAAATAAGAAACTTTTAAATGAAACATTTTTTTATTCAACTTCTTATTGAGTAACACCCACTTGAAAATTTATTGCGCGAAAAAAAAAAAGTCGACTCCTATTTGGACATATTACGGTTATCTATAAAAAAACGATTTTAGCTAAAAAAAAATTTTCCCCAAAAAACCATAAAACTTTCGTCTGAAATTTTTTTTTTATAAAATTCATATTTTCTGCAGTATTTAATTGTAATGCCTGGTATATTTGAGATTTTTTTTACCTCACTATGTGTTTTCTCAGTGTAGGTATTTCTGTGATAGAACTAGTCCTATGTTTTTTTTTTTCTGTATTGTTTTCTCTTCTGTGGTTTTTGTGAACTAGCCCTATTTCTTTTCTGTATCCTCTATTCTGTAATTCTTGTGAAATAGCTGTATGTTTCTTTTTTGTATTGTTCTGTGGTGATTTCAATATCTTTTTAATTTCACCCTGTAGGATATTATTAACGTTCATTACTAGCTTCCATGATCAAATTTTTGTATTTAGTTAGTTCCAACTTTTTCAAAAGTTCTGTGAAGTCGTAGTTAAAATGATTAATTTTATTTTCATCATACCTTTTTGCTATTTCTCCTTGTTGTAACGTTATTTTCATATCCATAGCAGTCCTACATGGTGTAGATTCCAAAGTGAACAAGTATTTTGCTTAACTGCAGACATTTGACCATGCTTAATGTGTAGTATTTTTCCAGTCTGGGTCACCAATTGTAGTAATCATACAATTTATAGATTTTTGTAATTTTTTATTACTGACCACCTTCTTTTGATTAGTCATCAAAGTCAAAAATATTATCCTACAGGGTGAAATTAAAAAGTAATATATTGAAATTTCTTCTGTGGTCTTTGAAAACTAGCCAGCCCTATGTTTCCTTTCTGTATTATTCTCTATTTTGTGGTTCTTGTTTTCATTCTGTTTTATTGTCTATTCTGAGGTTCTTGTTTCCTTTCTATATTAATAGAGAGTTATTGCAAGTTCACTTAAGGTCAATCACTATTAGTGCCGCTCTTATTTTGACATATGAGCATGCGCAGATCACTAACTTTAATAAAGATTGTGCGTGTCCTTAATAAGAAAGTTATTGCAAGTAACACTTAAGGTCAGTCACTATTAGTGCCGCTCTTATTTTGACATATGAGCATGCGCAGATCACTAACTTTAATAAAGATTGTGCCTGTCCTTAATAAGAAAGTTATTGCAAGTTCACTTAAGGTCAGTCACTATTAGTGCCGCTTTTATTTTGACATTTAAGCATGCGCAGATGTTTATGTTCTAAAACTGACTTTATTAAGAATTGTGGATGTTTAAGGGCAGCAGGTAGTGGCAACTTTATAGTTTTCGGATGCGCTCGCCGACATTCGTATTTTTTAATATTAAATATTTAATATAATCGTCATTTAAACCTTCTAAAATTATAATTTCTAATGCCTCTTTAATATTATAGACAACAAAAAAGATGAACTATAATTTAAAGTTTAGTGGCTGGCTTTATAGAAATTTGCAATATCTCTCTATTAAGGACAGGCACAATCTTTATTAAAGTTAGTGATCTGCGCATGCTCAGATGTCAAAATAAAAGCGACATTAATAGTGACTGACCTTAAGTGAAATTCTCTTTAATGTCTATTCTGTGGTTCTTGTTTCTTTTCTGTATTATTCTCTATTCTGTGAAACTTGTTTCCTTTCTGTATTATTCTCTATTCTGTGAAACTTGTTTCCTTTCTGTATTATTCTCTATTCTGTGAAACTTGTTTCCTTTCTGTATTATTATTCTCTATTCTGTGAAACTTGTTTCCTTCCTGTATTTATTATTCTCTATTCTGTGAAACTTGTTTCCTTTTTGTATTATTCTCTATTCTGTGAAACTTGTTTCCTTTCTGTATTATTCTCTATTCTGTGAAACTTGTTTCCTTTCTGTATTATTCTCTATTCTGTGAAACTTGTTTCCTTTTTGTATTATTCTCTATTCTGTGAAACTTGTTTCCTTTCTGTATTATTCTCTATTCTGTGAAACTTGTTTCCTTTCTGTATTCTCTATTCTGTGAAACTTGTTTCCTTTCTGTATTATTCTCTATTCTGTGAAACTTGTTTCCTTTCTGTATTATTCTCTATTTTGTGGTTCTTGTTTCCTTTCTGTATTATTGTCTATTCTGAGGTTCTTGTTTCCTTTCTGTATTATTCTCTATTCTGTGAAACTTGTTTCCTTTCTGTATTATTCTCTATTCTGTGAAACTTGTTTCCTTTCTGTATTATTCTCTATTCTGTGAAACTTGTTTCCTTTCTGTATTATTCTCTATTCTGTGAAACTTGTTTCCTTTCTGTATTATTCTCTATTCTGTGAAACTTGTTTCCTTTCTGTATTATTCTCTATTCTGTGAAACTTGTTTCCTTTCTGTATTATTCTCTATTCTGTGAAACTTGTTTCCTTTTTGTATTATTGTCTATTCTAAGGTTCTTCTTTCCTTTCTGTATTATTCTCTATTCTGTGAAACTTGTTTCCTTTCTGTATTTATTATTCTCTATTCTGTGAAACTTGTTTCCTTTTTGTATTATTCTCTATTCTGTGAAACTTGTTTCCTTTCTGTATTATTCTCTATTCTGTGAAACTTGTTTCCTTTCTGTATTATTCTCTATTCTGAGGTTCTTGTTTCCTTTCTGTATTATTCTCTATTCTGTGAAACTTGTTTCCTTTCTGTATTATTCTCTATTCTGTGAAACTTGTTTCCTTTCTGTATTATTCTCTATTCTGTGAAACTTGTTTCCTTTCTGTATTATTCTCTATTCTGTGAAACTTGTTTCCTTTCTGTATTATTCTCTATTCTGTGAAACTTGTTTCCTTTCTGTATTATTCTCTATTCTGTGAAACTTGTTTCCTTTCTGTATTATTCTCTATTCTGTGAAACTTGTTTCCTTTCTGTATTATTCTCTATTCTGTGAAACTTGTTTCCTTTCTGTATTATTCTCTATTCTGTGAAACTTGTTTCCTTTTTGTATTATTCTCTATTCTGTGAAACTTGTTTCCTTTCTGTATTATTCTCTATTCTGTGAAACTTGTTTCCTTTCTGTATTATTCTCTATTCTGTGAAACTTGTTTCCTTTTTGTATTATTCTCTATTCTGTGAAACTTGTTTCCTTTCTGTATTATTCTCTATTCTGTGAAACTTGTTTCCTTTTTGTATTATCTATTCTGTGAAACTTGTTTCCTTTCTGTATTTATTATTCTCTATTCTGTGAAACTTGTTTCCTTTCTGTATTATTCTCTATTCTGTGAAACTTGTTTCCTTTCTGTATTATTCTCTATTCTGTGAAACTTGTTTCCTTTCTGTATTATTCTCTATTTTGTGAAACTTTTTTCCTTTCTGTATTATTCTCTATTCTGTGAAACTTGTTTCCTTTCTGTATTATTCTCTATTCTGTGAAACTTGTTTCCTTTCTGTATTATTCTCTATTCTGTGAAACTTGTTTCCTTTCTGTATTATTCTCTATTCTGTGAAACTTTTTTCCTTTCTGTATTATTCTCTATTCTGTGAAACTTGTTTCCTTTCTGTATTATTCTCTATTCTGTGAAACTTGTTTCCTTTCTGTATTATTCTCTATTCTGTGAAACTTGTTTCCTTTTTGTATTATCTATTCTGTGAAACTTGTTTCCTTTCTGTATTTATTATTCTCTATTCTGTGAAACTTGTTTCCTTTCTGTATTATTCTCTATTCTGTGAAACTTGTTTCCTTTCTGTATTATTCTCTATTCTGTGAAACTTGTTTCCTTTTTGTATTATTCTCTATTCTGTGAAACTTGTTTCCTTCCTGTATTATTCTCTATTCTGTTAAACTTGTTTCCTTTCTGTATTATTCTCTATTCTGTTTTTCTTGTTTCTTTTCTTTCTTCTGCGTTATTAACTATACTTATTTTTGTTTTTAGCTTGGTTATACTATTAAATTATCCATATTTGTTAAAAAGAATGTAATTAAGTCTTCAACAATTAAGAAATTTTGATTCAACTCGACCGTTTTCACATATACAACGTTTTTAAATAGGTGAAATTGGAAGAAGCAGGTAACGCAACAACAAAAAGCGACGTCGTTAACGGCGATGTCGATAAAAAAGACGATTCCGGCAACGAGACGGGCGCTGGCGAAAACGAACAAGAAGAAGAACACGAAGTGTATTACGACAAAACTAAATCGTTCTTTGACAAGATTTCTTGTGAGGCGGTCGAAAGGGCCAAAGGGAAATCGCAAAGGACCGACTGGCGCATCGAGCGCAAATTGAATTCGGAAACGTTTGGGGTGGCTGCGGCGAGACGAGGAGGGTGAGTACTTTTTTAATTTTGTTTATAAAATATTTAATAATTATTAATTGAAATCGCAGGATTTTAATTTCACAAAAATGATGAAATAAAATTTGATTTGTTTTTAAGTAAAAAATTGTACATTAATACAAACAATATTCTACACAACAATTAAACAGAATAAAACTTATAGACGACTTTACAGGATGTTTCATTAGGAGAGTGAAATATTTTACCAGAGGATCACAAAAAACCCATTTAGTATAAGTCTTGTGAGCCATAATAATTATTAAATAAAAATTTGGATATTTAAAGTATTTTTTTAATGAATTAATGTTGGAATTAAACTAATTTCAAAAAAATAAATAAATTTATAGAAGAAAACGTTAAAAATAATGAAATAATTAAAAAAAAATTAAAATCATTATTAATCAAGTTACTAAATTTCTTTTGTGCTTCATAACTTTTGAATCACTTGGTATATTTTTTTTATATATTTGTTATAGATAATTTGAACAAAAATTACAATTACAGATCTGTACTTAAGAAAATTTAAATGATTCATATTCATTTAATAATTAATTCATTTTTTTTATTTTATGGAATATATTTGTTATTTGTGTGTGGAGAAGAAAATTCTTCAAATAAAAGTTGTTTATAATGTTATTCTCTATAATTTTTGTTATATACAAAATTTTCCTGAAATGGTCCGTATTTGAGAAATTTAAGAAATAGTGTAAATTTCGAATTTTGAAGAAAACTCGAAAACGAAAAAGGAAAAAATATCAAATTTTAAGCCTAACTTTAATTTTAAACTGCGGTGAACTAATTAGATTTAAGGCAGAGACGGAACATCTAGGGGGGTACTTTATAGGGGGTCGTTTTTATATTTTATGGAATATATCTGTTATTTGTGTTTGAAGAAGAAATTTCTTCAAATAAAAGTTACTTCTAATATAATTATCTATAATTTTTGTTTTATACAAAATTTTCCTAAAATGGTCCGTATTCGAGAAATTTGAGAAAAAATCTAAATTTCGAATTTTTAAGATTACTCAAAAACGGTTAAAGAAAAAACACCAAATTTTAAATTTAAGCCTTAATCCATTCTGTGCGGAACTAATTAAATTTTGGACAGAGTCGGAACATCTGGGGGGGGGTACTTTATAGGGGGTCATTTTTATATTTTATGGAATATATGTTATTTAAGTTTGGAGAAAAAAATTGTTCAAATAAAAGTTATTTCTAATATTATTCTCTATAATTTTTGTTCTATACAAAATTTTTGTAAAATGGTCCGTATTCGAGATATTTGACAAATAGTTGTAGATAATGAATAAATTTAAAACTTTTGTATAGCCTCAAATTTTCAATAAAAATAGTTTAATTAACATGAAATTTTGCGAAAGTGAAACTTTTTCAGTGTTTAATAAGCATGAATTTTTTGAATTTCAAAAAACGAGTAGTTTTAGAGATATTTACATTTTTCGAAAAGAAAAAAAAATACTCTGACTTCTATGGAAAATTTTATTGTTTATATATATGTTTTTTTTCGATTTCAAGATTTTTTAAGGGTTTATTTTAATCGTTAAAATGTCTACTTTTAGATGGTCTATACATTTTGATACTTTATTTGTGATAGAATCAATAAAAATTGAGAAAAACTGAAAAAAGTCAGATTTACATTAGGAAATTTTCAATATTTTTAATTTTTAACTCAATTTTTTGCTTTCTATTATTAATGATGGGTTACATTTTAATGAAAAAAACTTGAATACATTGTCACTATAATATAATATTATATTATTTAAATTGGAAAAGTGCAATTTAGGAGTTGAAAACGGTTTTTTGCGTTTTGCAGCGAAACGTGAGCTCCTAGCTAAAAGAGTTCAATACAAATGTTGTAGATAATGAAACAATCTAAAACTTTTGTATATGACGTTTTTCAACATAACTTCAAATTTTCCGAGAAAATCGGAAAAAAACGATTTTTCGGTTTCTAATTTTTTTCTAACGTAAAAATATTTTAATTTACGTAAGATTTGGTGAAAGTGAAACTGTTTTAGTGTTAAATACGCATGAATTTTTTGGATTTTAAAGAACAAGTATTTTCCGAGATATTTATATTTTTTCCGAAAAAAAAAAAACTAGGCTTTTACGAAAAAAAAAAAGATGAAAACAATTTTTGAATTTCTTCACAATTTCCCAACTAATTTTACAAATTTCCTCACAATTCCTCACTATTTTTACAAAATTCCCCATTCCTTCATAATTCTTCACTATTTTTACAAAATTTTCCCGCAATTCCCCGCTATTTTTCCATTTAAAAATTATACATTTTTATTTGCCAGACAAAAATGTATTATTCCGTATAACTAAAAATATTTAAAAAAAATGTTTTTTTTTCTTTCAAATCCATGTAATTTTTATTTAAAACTTGTTTGCATATTTATAATACAAATTCAGATATATAAACATAAGAAAAGTTTTGTTTTTTCAAATGATACAGAACTTTTTATCAAAAATAATTTTTTTTTTTTTTTGAAATACCAAACTTTTTTTGCTGTTTATATACTAATTTTAGGAAAAAAAGTTATTCTTCATAAAACGTAGAGTATGGTTTAATACCTAAAATACAACCATCATCTATCAAATTTTTACAATAATATACGAGGTATGTCAAAAATAAAGGTACTTTACTTTTCAGTAAAATCATATTTTTTAACATACCTCGTATACTATTGTAAAAATTTTATATTTGATGCTTGCATTTTATTTTTTAACCCATTCTTGACGTTTTATGCAGAATAACTTTTTTTCCTAAAATTAATAATAAAAAAGTTTTTCATTTACATAGAATGTTAGTGGAATACAAAATTCTCTTTTAGTAGGTACCTACTAATTTAAGGAAAAAAAGTTATTCTTCATAAAACGTAGAGTATGGTTTAATGCCTAAAATACAACCATCATATATCAAATTTTTACAATAGTATACGAGGTATGTCAAAAATAAAGGTACTTTACTTTTTAGTAAAATCATATTTTTTGACATACCTTGCATACTATTGTAAAAATTTGATATTTGATGGTTGCATTTAATTTTTAACCCATGCTTGACGTTTTATGAAGAATAACTTTTTTTCCTAAATTTACTAATAAAAAAGTTTTTCACTTACATAGAATGTTAGTGGAATACAAAATTCTCTTTTAGTAGGTACCTACTAATTTTAGGAAAAAGAGTTATTCTTCATAAAACGTAGAGTATGGTTTAATACCTAAAATACAACCATCATATATCAAATTTTTACAATAGTATACGAGGTATGTCAAAAATAAAGGTACTTTACTTTTTAGTAAAATCATATTTTTTGACATACCTTGCATACTATTGTAAAAATTTGATATTTGATGGTTGCATTTAATTTTTAACCCATGCTTGACGTTTTATGAAGAATAACTTTTTTTTCTAAATTTACTAATAAAAAAGTTTTTCACTTACATAGAATGTTAGTGGAATACAAAATTCTCTTTTAGTAGGTACCTACTAATTTTAGGAAAAAGAGTTATTCTTCATAAAACGTAGAGTATGGTTTAATACCTAAAATACAACCATCATATATCAAATTTTTACAATAGTATACGAGGTATGTCAAAAATTAAGGTACTTTACTTTTCAGTAAAATCATATTTTTTGATATACCTCGTATACTATTGTAAAAATTTGATATTTGATGGTTGCATTTTATTTTTTAACCCATGCTTGACGTTTTATGCAGAATAATTTTTTTTTCTAAAATTAATAATAAAAAAGTTTTTCATTTACATAGAATGTTGGTGGTATACAAAATTCGTTTTTGGTAGATACCTACTAATTTTAGGAAAAAAAGTTATTCTTCATAAAATGTAGAGTATGGTTTATTGCCTAAAATACAACCATCATATATCACATTTTTATAATAGTATACAAGATATGTCAAAAATAAAGGTACTTTACTTTTTAGTAAAATCATATTTTTTGACATACCTTGCATACTATTGTAAAAATTTGATATTTGATGGTTGCATTTTATTTTTTAACCCATGCTTGACGTTTTATGAAGAATAACTTTTTTTCCTAAAATTAATAATAAAAAAGTTTTTCACTTACATAAAATGTTAGTGGAATACAAAATTCTCTTTTAGTAGGTACCTACTAATTTTAGGAAAAAAAGTTATTCTTCATAAAACGTACAGTATGGTTTAATACCTAAAATACAACCTTCATATATCAAATTTTTACAATAGTATACGAGATATGTCAAAAATTAAGGTACTTTACTTTTTAGTAAAATATTTTTTGACATACCTTGCATACTATTGTAAAAATTTGATATTTGATGGCTGCATTTTATTTTTTAACACATGCTTGACGTTTTATGAAGAATAACTTTTTTTCCTAAAATTAATAATAAAAAAGTTTTTCACTTACATAGAATGTTAGTGGAATACAAAATTCTCTTTTAGTAGGTACCTACCAATTTTAGGAAAAAAAGTTATTCTTGATAAAACGTAGAGTATGATTTATTACTTAAAATACAACCATCACATATCAAATTTTTACAATAGTATACGAGGTATGTCAAAAATTAAGGTACTTTACTTTTCAGTAAAATCATATTTTTTGATATACCTCGTATACTATTGTAAAAATTTGATATTTGATGGTTGCATTTTATTTTTTAACACATGCTTGACGTTTTATGAAGAATAACTTTTTTCCTAAAATTAATAATAAAAAAGTTTTTCACTTACATAAAATGTTAGTGGAATACAAAATTCTCTTTTAGTAGGTACCTACTAATTTTAGGAAAAAAAGTTATTCTTCATAAAACGTACAGTATGGTTTAATACCTAAAATACAACCTTCATATATCAAATTTTTACAATAGTATACGAGATATGTCAAAAATTAAGGTACTTTACTTTTTAGTAAAATATTTTTTGACATACCTTGCATACTATTGTAAAAATTTGATATTTGATGGCTGCATTTTATTTTTTAACACATGCTTGACGTTTTATGAAGAATAACTTTTTTTCCTAAAATTAATAATAAAAAAGTTTTTCACTTACATAGAATGTTAGTGGAATACAAAATTCTCTTTTAGTAGGTACCTACCAATTTTAGGAAAAAAAGTTATTCTTGATAAAACGTAGAGTATGATTTATTACTTAAAATACAACCATCACATATCAAATTTTTACAATAGTATACGAGGTATGTCAAAAATTAAGGTACTTTACTTTTCAGTAAAATCATATTTTTTGATATACCTCGTATACTATTGTAAAAATTTGATATTTGATGGTTGCATTTTATTTTTTAACACATGCTTGACGTTTTATGAAGAATAACTTTTTTCCTAAAATTAATAATAAAAAAGTTTTTCACTTACATAGAATGTTGGTGGTATACAAAATTCGTTTTTGGTAGATACCTACTAATTTTAGGAAAAAAAGTTATTCTTCATAAAATGTAGAGTATGGTTTATTGCCTAAAATACAACCATCATATATCACATTTTTATAATAGTATACAAGATATGTCAAAAATAAAGGTACTTTACTTTTTAGTAAAATCATATTTTTTGACATACCTTGCATACTATTGTAAAAATTTGATATTTGATGGTTGCATTTTATTTTTTAACCCATGCTTGACGTTTTATGCAGAATAACTTTTTTTCCTAAAATGAATAATAAAAAAGTTTTTCACTTACATAGAATGTTAGTGGAATACAAAATCCTCTTTTAGTAGGTACCTACTAATTTTAGGAAAAAAAGTTATTCTTCATAAAACGTAGAGTATGGTTTAATACCTAAAATACAACCTTCATATATCAAATTTTTACAATAGTATACGAGGTATGTCAAAAATTAAGGTACTTTACTTTTCAGTAAAATCATATTTTTTGATATACCTCGTATACTATTGTAAAAATTTGATATTTGATGGTTGCATTTTATTTTTTAACACATGCTTGACGTTTTATGAAGAATAACTTTTTTCCTAAAATTAATAATAAAAAAGTTTTTCACTTACATAGAATGTTGGTGGTATACAAAATTCGTTTTTGGTAGATACCTACTAATTTTAGGAAAAAAAGTTATTCTTCATAAAATGTAGAGTATGGTTTATTGCCTAAAATACAACCATCATATATCACATTTTTATAATAGTATACAAGATATGTCAAAAATAAAGGTACTTTACTTTTTAGTAAAATCATATTTTTTGACATACCTTGCATACTATTGTAAAAATTTGATATTTGATGGTTGCATTTTATTTTTTAACCCATGCTTGACGTTTTATGCAGAATAACTTTTTTTCCTAAAATGAATAATAAAAAAGTTTTTCACTTACATAGAATGTTAGTGGAATACAAAATCCTCTTTTAGTAGGTACCTACTAATTTTAGGAAAAAAAGTTATTCTTCATAAAACGTAGAGTATGGTTTAATACCTAAAATACAACCTTCATATATCAAATTTTTACAATAGTATACGAGGTATGTCAAAAATTAAGGTACTTTACTTTTCAGTAAAATCATATTTTTTGATATACCTCGTATACTATTGTAAAAATTTGATATTTGATGGTTGCATTTTATTTTTTAACACATGCTTGACGTTTTATGAAGAATAACTTTTTTCCTAAAATTAATAATAAAAAAGTTTTTCACTTACATAGAATGTTGGTGGTATACAAAATTCGTTTTTGGTAGATACCTACTAATTTTAGGAAAAAAAGTTATTCTTCATAAAATGTAGAGTATGGTTTATTGCCTAAAATACAACCATCATATATCACATTTTTATAATAGTATACAAGATATGTCAAAAATAAAGGTACTTTACTTTTTAGTAAAATCATATTTTTTGACATACCTTGCATACTATTGTAAAAATTTGATATTTGATGGTTGCATTTTATTTTTTAACCCATGCTTGACGTTTTATGCAGAATAACTTTTTTTCCTAAAATGAATAATAAAAAAGTTTTTCACTTACATAGAATGTTAGTGGAATACAAAATCCTCTTTTAGTAGGTACCTACTAATTTTAGGAAAAAAAGTTATTCTTCATAAAACGTACAGTATGGTTTAATACCTAAAATACAACCTTCATATATCAAATTTTTACAATAGTATACGAGGTATGTCAAAAATTAAGGTACTTTACTTTTCAGTAAAATCATATTTTTTGATATACCTCGTATACTATTGTAAAAATTTGATATTTGATGGTTGCATTTTATTTTTTAACACATGCTTGACGTTTTATGAAGAATAACTTTTTTCCTAAAATTAATAATAAAAAAGTTTTTCACTTACATAGAATGTTGGTGGTATACAAAATTCGTTTTTGGTAGATACCTACTAATTTTAGGAAAAAAAGTTATTCTTCATAAAATGTAGAGTATGGTTTATTGCCTAAAATACAACCATCATATATCACATTTTTATAATAGTATACAAGATATGTCAAAAATAAAGGTACTTTACTTTTTAGTAAAATCATATTTTTTGACATACCTTGCATACTATTGTAAAAATTTGATATTTGATGGTTGCATTTTATTTTTTAACCCATGCTTGACGTTTTATGCAGAATAACTTTTTTTCCTAAAATGAATAATAAAAAAGTTTTTCACTTACATAGAATGTTAGTGGAATACAAAATCCTCTTTTAGTAGGTACCTACTAATTTTAGGAAAAAAAGTTATTCTTCATAAAACGTACAGTATGGTTTAATACCTAAAATACAACCTTCATATATCAAATTTTTACAATAGTATACGAGGTATGTCAAAAATTAAGGTACTTTACTTTTCAGTAAAATCATATTTTTTGATATACCTCGTATACTATTGTAAAAATTTGATATTTGATGGTTGCATTTTATTTTTTAACACATGCTTGACGTTTTATGAAGAATAACTTTTTTCCTAAAATTAATAATAAAAAAGTTTTTCAGTTACATAAAATATTAGTGGAATACAAAATTCTCTTTTAGTAGGTACCTATTAATTTTAGGAAAAAAAGTTATTCTTCATAAAACGTAGAGTATGGTTTAATACCTAAAATACAACCTTCATATATCAAATTTTTACAATAGTATACGAGGTATGTCAAAAATTAAGGTACTTTACTTTTCAGTAAAATCATATTTTTTGATATACCTCGTATACTATTGTAAAAATTTGATATTTGATGGTTGCATTTTATTTTTTAACCCATGCTTGACGTTTTATGAAGAATTACTTTTTTTCCTAAAATTAATTATAAAAAAGTTTTTCACTTACATAAAATGTTAGTGGAATACAATATTCTCTTTTAGTAGGTACCTACTAATTTTAGGAAAAAAAGTTATTCTTCATAAAACGTAGAGTATGGTTTAATACCTAAAATACAACCTTCATATATCAAATTTTTACAATAGTATACGAGGTATGTCAAAAATTAAGGTACTTTACTTTTCAGTAAAATCATATTTTTTTTATATACCTCGTATACTATTGTAAAAATTTGATATTTGATGGTTGCATTTTATTTTTTAACACATGCTTGACGTTTTATGAAGAATAACTTTTTTTCCTAAAATTACTAATAAAAAAGTTTTTTATTTACATAGAATGTTGGTGGTATATAAAATTATTTTTTAGTACGTACCTACTAATTTTAGGAAAAAAAGTTATTCTTCATAAAACGTAAACAGTTGCGCCCTGCATTTCTAACCTCTATAGTATCTATCAAATACGGTGTTGCTAAAAAAAGTTATCTAAGTGCTATAAAAAATCGTACAAACAACATCGTTTTGTATTTAGTTTCAGAGGACGAGGCGGTTTCAGAGGCATGGGTTACAGAGGTGGCTACAGAAACAACTACAGACAACCCCAACAGAATAACCAACGTCGTCCCGGAGGACCCAGTAGCGAAAACAATTCGCAGCCCGCTCCGCAACCGCAGCAGCAGGAACAGCAGCAGCAACAAGGTAATCCATCTGATCAGATCGAAAAACCTCAAGAGAAATTAGACATTGACACTGATTCTGTCAAACAACTCGTTCTAGAGGCGGTAGATTTGCCTGCTGAAACTTCGCAGGTTCAAAGCAAAAGTAGCGACCAGATCGGGTCCGTGCCCGAGCCTGCAATGGCAGGTACCATTTCCAAGTTATAAGCTCGTTGGGCGTGTTTTGTTTTGTTCAAATATGGCGGTCAAAAATTCTATTCCATTAATTTTTTGAAAATATTAGTCTGTAACCTACAGCACTTAGGCCTCACTAGACCCATTGCGCATCCTCCTAAATAGATAAACTACAGATATTATAAGAGATTATTCATGTCCTATTTCTTTATATTAGTTTTAAAAGTTTATTATTATAAAAAAAATACAGTTATATAGGGTGAGCCAAAAAGTTGGATTAGTAATATTTACTATTTTATAATATATTTTTATATATCGTAATGGGTATCGAATAAATACAATAGTAATGAAGAAAAATATATATAAATATACATACAGGGATAGTAAAAAGTTATATAAAGTTGAGATATACAAAAATTGCTATTTTTTCTATAGAAAATGCATTGTAGGAAAATAAGTAATCGTCAACACATTAAAATCAGTTTAGTTTTTTTGAACTTTCTGCTGTGAATTGAAATTGGGAATGTCGTTTTTCTCTTAGAAGTAAAATTGGTATATAGTAAGGTATTATGCTTACAATGTGTCCACTTAAGCTTTTATTATTAACTTTACGGAAAAAGTTATTCTTCATAAAATGTCGAGCATATTTTAAAACTTAAAATGCAACTATCAAATATCAATTTTTTACAGTAGTATACGAGGTATATCAAATAATATGAATTTTGCTGACTAAGTAAAGTATCTTATTTTGGATATACCTCGTATACTATTTTAAAAATTTGATATCTGATGGTTGCATTTTAGATTTTAAACTATGCTCGACGTTTTATATAGAATTACTTTTTGTTCTAAAATTAATAATAAAAAAGTTTTTCACTTATGTAGAAAGTTGGTGATTTATAAAAATTTCTTTTAGTAGGTACCTACTAATTTTAGGAAAAAAAGTTATTCTTTATAAAACGTCGAGTATGATTTAATACCTAAAATAAAACCTTCATATATCAAATTTTTACAATAGTATACGAGGTATGTCAAAAATAAAGGTACTTTACTTTTCAGTAAAATCATATTTTTTGACATACCTCGTATACTATTGTAAACATTTGATATTTGATGGTTGCATTTTATTTTTTAAATCATGCTCGACGTTTTATGAAGAATAACTTTTTTTCCTAAAATTAATAATAAAAAAGTTTTTCATTTATGTAAAAAGTTGGCGACGTATAAATATCTCTTTTTAGTAGGTACCTACTAATTTTAGGAAAAAAAGTTATTCTTCATAAAACGTCGAGTATGGTTTAATACCTAAGATACAACCATCATATATCAAATTTTTACAATAGTATACGAGGTATGTCAAAAATTAAGGTACTTTACTTTTCAGTAAAATCATATTTTTTGACATACCTCGTATACCATTGTAAAAATTTAATATTTGGTGGTTATATTTTAAGTTTTAAACCATGCTCGACGTTTTATGAAGAATAACTTTTTTTCCTAAAATTAATAATAAAAAAGTGTTTCACTTATGTAGAAAATTGGTGACGTATAAAAATCTTTTTTAGTAGGAACTTATTAATTTTAGGAAAAAAAGTTATTCTTTATAAAACGTCGAGTATGATTTAATACCTAAAATAAAACCTTCATATATCAAATTTTTTCAATAGTATACGAGGTATGTCAAAAATAAAGGTACTTTACTTTTCAGTAAAATCATATTTTTTGACATACCTCGTATACTATTGTAAAAATTTGATATTTGATGGTTGCATTTTAGGTTTTAGACTATACTCAACGTTTTATGGAGAATAACTTTTTGTCCTAAAATTAATAATAAAAAAGTTTTTCACTTATGTAGAAAGTTGGTGACTTATAAAAATCTCTTTTTAGTAGGTACCTACTAATTTTAGGAAAAAAGTTATTCTTCATAAAACGTCGAGCATGATTTAAAAAATAAAATGTAACTATCAAATATCAAATTTTTACAATATTATACGAGGTATGTCAAAAAATATGATTTTACTGAAAAGTAAAGTACCTTAATTTTTGACATACCTCGTATACTATTGTAAACATTTGATATTTGATGGTTGCATTTTATTTTTTAACCCATGCTCGACGTTTTATGAAGAATAACTTTTTTTCCTAAAATTAATAATAAAAAAGTTTTTCATTTATGTAAAAAGTTGGCGACGTATAAATATCTCTTTTTAGTAGGTACCTACTAATTTTAGGAAAAAAAGTTATTCTTCATAAAACGTCGAGTATGGTTTAATACCTAAGATACAACCATCATATATCAAATTTTTACAATAGTATACGAGGTATGTCAAAAATTAAGGTACTTTACTTTTCAGTAAAATCATATTTTTTGACATACCTCGTATACCATTGTAAAAATTTAATATTTGGTGGTTATATTTTAAGTTTTAAACCATGCTCGACGTTTTATGAAGAATAACTTTTTTTCCTAAAATTAATAATAAAAAAGTTTTTCACTTATGTAGAAAATTGGTGACGTATAAAAATCTTTTTTAGTAGGAACTTATTAATTTTAGGAAAAAAAGTTATTCTTTATAAAACGTCGAGTATGATTTAATACCTAAAATAAAACCTTCATATATCAAATTTTTTCAATATTATACGAGGTATGTCAAAAATAAAGGTACTTTACTTTTCAGTAAAATCATATTTTTTGACATACCTCGTATACTATTGTAAAAATTTGATATTTGATGGTTGCATTTTAGGTTTTAGACTATACTCAACGTTTTATGGAGAATAACTTTTTGTCCTAAAATTAATAATAAAAAAGTTTTTCACTTATGTAGAAAGTTGGTGACTTATAAAAATCTCTTTTTAGTAGGTACCTACTAATTTTAGGAAAAAAGTTATTCTTCATAAAACGTCGAGCATGATTTAAAAAATAAAATGTAACTATCAAATATCAAATTTTTACAATATTATACGAGGTATGTCAAAAAATATGATTTTACTGAAAAGTAAAGTACCTTAATTTTTGACATACCTCGTATACTATTGTAAACATTTGATATTTGATGGTTGCATTTTATTTTTTAACCCATGCTCGACGTTTTATGAAGAATAACTTTTTTTCCTAAAATTAATAATAAAAAAGTTTTTCACTTATGTATAAAGTTGGTGACGTATAAAAATCTCTTTTTAGTAGGTACCTACTAATTTTAGGAAAAAAAGTTATTCTTCATAAAACGTCGAGTATGGTTTAATACCTAAGATACAACCATCATATATCAAATTTTTACAATAGTATACGAGGTATGTCAAAAATTAAGGTACTTTACTTTTCAGTAAAATCATATTTTTTGACATACCTCGTATACCATTGTAAAAATTTAATATTTGGTGGTTATATTTTAAGTTTTAAACCATGCTCGACGTTTTATGAAGAATAACTTTTTTTCCTAAAATTAATAATAAAAAAGTTTTTCACTTATGTAGAAAATTGGTGACGTATAAAAATCTTTTTTAGTAGGAACTTATTAATTTTAGGAAAAAAAGTTATTCTTTATAAAACGTCGAGTATGATTTAATACCTAAAATAAAACCTTCATATATCAAATTTTTACAATAGTATACGAGGTATGTCAAAAATAAAGGTACTTTACTTTTCAGTAAAATCATATTTTTTGACATACCTCGTATACTATTGTAAAAATTTGATATTTGATGGTTGCATTTTAGGTTTTAGACTATACTCAACGTTTTATGGAGAATAACTTTTTGTCCTAAAATTAATAATAAAAAAGTTTTTCACTTATGTAGAAAGTTGGTGACGTATAAAAATCTCTTTTTAGTAGGTACCTACTAATTTTAGGAAAAAAGGTTATTCTTCATAAAACGTCGAGCATGATTTAAAAAATAAAATGTAACCATCAAATATCAAATTTTTACAATATTATACGAGGTATGTCAAAAAATATGATTTTACTGAAAAGTAAAGTACCTTAATTTTTGACATACCTCGTATACTATTGTAAACATTTGATATTTGATGGTTGCATTTCATTTTTTAACCTATTTTCGACGTTTTATGAGGAATAACTTTTTTTCCTAAAATTAATAATAAAAAAGTTCTTCACTTATTTACATACTAATTTTAGAAGAAAAAATATTATTCTTCCTAAAAACATTTTTATTTGAAAAATATGTAATGGAATACGATTTTTGACCAATCTACGTGTCGAAGGGAATATTTAATTTTATTTTGGTGACAGAAAAATAATTGTTTATGTGTTGGGTAATTTATTTCGAGCAAATCAAGATAAATGCCAATAAATCCAAAGGGTGGATAAAATTTGAATTGAAGTGTAATCTCGAGAAAAAAGGGCGTAAAAACATTAATATTATTTTAATTAAATGCCTTATTTTATTTAACGAGCGAATATTTGCGAGACGAGCAAAGCGAGGTCATGCAAAACGAACGAGTTACACAAAATACTATCTCATAGGAAAAGTACTGTTGTTTCTTAAACGGTAATAGATAGAAAGTTGGTTAAATAAGACAAAAGTTGCGCAGTTTTGTGCCCAATAAAATAGCGCCAAGAAATTTTAGATATATCTACAGGAAAATTCAAAATATTGAACAAATTCATTCATTTTTTGATCGATATTTGTAGATATCAAAGGTTTGTTTGGGCGCCATTTTAATGAACACAAAACTGTGCAACTTTTGTCTTATTTAACCAACTTTCTATCTATTACCATTCAATAAATAGGAATACTCTCTTTGAAATAGTATAGGAATACCCTGTATACAATATTTTTTCATTTTTAATTAATAATTTCTCAAACACTTGTGGGATGTTAATTTTGTTTGTTAAAGTTGTGTAGTTTTCGAAAAAATGGGTTATTTTGTCGTGAATTGTGTTTTGATTATTTCCTGCAGATTTAGAATAAAAAATAAGGACCAAAACAGAATTATTACTAGGTTGTAAGTTCGCTAACAAAATCTGTTTTTATATAGCCAACCTCCTTTCGATATATCTATATTT